GAGCGGTTCCGAGAAGCCGTACGGTTTTCGGTATAATTACCGGAACTTTGTTTACGTATCGGCCCGTTTACCGTTGTAGCGTGGGTGTTGGGACAGCATATGTGTAAACAGCAATAAAACACGCCACCACCGCCGGCCCCCCGAGGATAGAGACGGGCCGCCTCCCTCGCGGAGGAAACACGCGAACGGGGGAGTTCCCCGGAGGGAAACGACGATGGGCGGAGCTGGACCATCCTCTGGACCGTACGTGTCAAATTAAAAACACCCTTCGTCAAAGAATCTCGCCCCCTCCCGCCCCTCTGACCGGCCACGAATCGCATTCAGAAGTCAGTTTCCGACGTAACGGAGCACGAACTGCTCCGGAATAGTTTTTGGTAACTCGGCTCCGTGTGAAACGTTCTAATGGGCACGATTTCCCTCGAATAATTTCTGGAGAGAATCCACGAACCCGTTCATTCTGACATTCGAACAATTCACTCGGTTTGGACACGTGTCTACGTATACACGAATTTTTATTTGTTTATTTGTCATTTCCTTTATAAATCTCTATTTCATGCGAAATTATTGAATTGTTTGTAACAACGGTAAAAGTGCAAAGAAAGGAAAGGAAAAGAAAAATCAAACTTGATTTCGATACATTTACTGATAATAACGTATATATAGGAATGAAATAATTGTCCTATTATTGGGTATTTCGGAAATGGAGGTCTAGTCTTTCGTCTATCATTCGTTGCTCGATACCCTCCTACCTAGACCATGAATTATCCCATAAAAATTCTTAAAGTATGGTTAAATTTGTATCTAAGTATATTGTAGTCTGTATAAAAGAAAAGGTAGTACAGCTTAGTCTCAGATTGGATGTGATTTCTGTGATCCTTGAGAACCGTCGAGAGCAACTTAAAGAAACGACATTTGTGAAATTGTGCAAGTGAAAACACCATTAACGGAAGCTTACAAAGGAACTTCTACCACTGGATGCTTGAGCTCGAGGATTTTGGAGAATTTCCAGGAATTCGTTGGACAGTATTTGAGTAGTATTACCATAAACTTTTCGTTGTAATCGTGAGAGTGTACAGAGTGACAATCCCTAGTTCTGGAAACATTTTTTTATCAACCGTCAGTTTTTCGTGCTTCTGATACAGCAGAGGGCATAAGGACACCAAAGGTAACCGAAACAACAAGAACCACATGCTCTGACCACCGTTCCAATGGAACCAACCACCAGCTACCAAGAGTACCCGTGCAACGTGTCCAAAAGCTATGGATGTGACCTACGAAGAAGCTACGAGTTCTGGACTCCAGACGAGATCTTCCCGACAATGTGCCCTTTACCGAGTTACTACAACCTGGTACCAGATATATTGACCTCGAGGAATCTGCCATTTTCGTGGAATCTTCCTCCGATGCGATACAAGCCGCAGCCACGATACGAGAAGCCACCGTATTCTTATATCGCTCTGATCGCCATGGCGATCAATTCGTCCCCTAAACAGAGGCTCACGTTGTCGGGAATCTATCGATTCATCATGGATCGGTTCCCCTACTACAGGTAGGGATAAACCGATATCAAGGTATCGATACTTTTACTCATAGCTTGTATCGAAAAAAAAGTATCGATATCTACTTAATTTGGGGATGTACGATATTCTAAAATCATCGATGTTTGTATCGATGTTGATATCGCTAACTAAATATTTCACTTGGATCAGTTCATTATCGATTGTTTACTATTATTCACTTGGATCGGTTCATCCCTGACTATAGGGAGAATCGTCAGGGATGGCAGAACAGCATAAGGCACAATCTCAGCTTGAACGATTGCTTCGTGAAGATACCGAGGGACAAGATCGTCGGGGAGGACAACGAGGAGGATCAGGCTGGAAAAGGTAGCTACTGGACCCTGGATCCGTCCGCCAGCGAGATGTTCGAGCATGGAAATTATAGGAGAAGGAGGATGAGGAAGCAACGAGGATTCGTGCAGGATAAACAGGAACCAAACCCCGGAACCGTCTCGGTAATTGAAGATGATAGGTATACAGGGTTTTCCATTTAAATCGACCCACTCGAATATCGCCAAAACTGTTGACGATGTTAAAAAATGTTTCAGATAAAAGTTAAATATTCGAGTGGGTCGACTTAAATGGAACACCCTGTATACAGTACTGTACACGCTACCGGCTAAATGCTTTGGACCAATCTATGATGCAACAGAAAAAAGAAGTTCCTTCGTTGAGCAGACAAATTTATGAAAATATAATAATCGCACAGAAAACATCATTATCTTCAAAACAGGGGAGCACTCTGTCATAAGATATGATCTGGACCGTTAATGCTGTAGCTGCAACCGAACGATTTAATCTATTAAACAGTGTAGTATTTTAATTTAGCTTGTACAGTTGATTCGGTGAATTAAATACAACGTTTAATCAGAATTAATTCAAATTCACATTACGCGATGTATAATTTGGTTCATTAGATCACGCGGAAACCAGGGCCCGACATGAAGGAACAAGGTGAGAAAAATGGCTATAAACTGATCGAGGCGAAAGATGATGATGAGGGTACGCAGATCAGGAAAATGAAATACACAGAGCCCCAAGGACACTGCGTAAAATCGATGATGTTCACTATCGAGAATATCCTACGGAAATCCACGCACGAATCTGCTGCTTAGCCATTCGCGTTCGATAAGTGGTGTTATCACGGTCACTTCATCTTTCGAAGGATCTGTTATTTTCCGGTATTGCTCGTTCAGTTCAGAGCACATTTTTAAATTAAAATAAAACAAGAAGCCTCCGTTAACGATCAAACGCGATTGCAAGGAATATAAATTTATTTTCACTTGAATGGTTCTCTTGACGCCTTTATTTTTTTTTCTTTTCAGAAATATGTTTTTATTTTTTATTTATACATTGAACGTCGGTGTATGAAGATCGAAATGCTACTTAACCATTATCCTACGGTATTATACAATATGTACAAAATTATAAATTAACTAACGCGCGTACAAGGAAGACATTTGTATATAAAAATTATTTCGGTGATCTTGTGCTGTTCGTCCAAAAGCTAAGAATGTCGAACGTTGATCAATTGTTTCTAAGTATAATTCCGTTTAATCGATTCAGTTTTCATTCGAGAATCTTCAAAATATGTAACTGATGATATTAAAGAAACAACAATAAATAGAGAATCACCGGTTTACTATATGTATATATATTAATACATAACAATATACATATATATACATATTTATGCATTTATATACATATATATTGATGTGCAACGGATCATTACCTGCACTGTAATTACAGTAAATATTTCATATGAATTACATATAATACTATTAAGTTTCATACGAATGTATAATACGGATCAGGTACCAGACAACGTTTTCTCTTAGCACCTTAATTATTAATTCATTTCTATACAAAAAAATCGCCTAGATCTGATCCGAGAAATATGGAACTTTACAAAATAACATTTAGATCTCTTTTAACATAGTGGGTATATATTGAATGTCACTGTCTCATAAAGACATAGAATGTTTCTTCATAAATGCATGGAGTTTCTTTGTACCTAAGAAATCCTACTAAGCAATTGGATTTTTTCTCATTAATTCTAAGTCGGAATCCATCATATCTTTTACGAGAGCCTGAAATGAAAACGTTCGTTACAGAGTTGACAACACGTGACCGGTGTAAGTGGAATTATTGACAAGTACCTCAAACGTAACTGTAGGTTTCCAACCTATTTTTTCCTTTGCTTTCGAAGCATCGCCCAAAAGGACATCCTACGTAAATGAAGAAAGTAAATGTTTGTTATTTATTACATAAGAAACTGGGGCATATAATATACTTTGTATGATACATGATTGATACTTACGACTTCTGTTGGACGAAAATATTTAGGATTCACTCTGACCAGTACCTGTCCTGTTTGTGCATCCTGTCCTGTCTCATTCACGCCTTCCCCTTGCCATTTAATTGTGCGACCTACATACTGAAATGCTGCTTCTACAAATTCCCTAACACTATGCGTTTCTCCTGTAGCTATCACATAATCGTCTGGTACTGGTTGTTGCAACATCAACCACATTGCCTAGGAAACATACAGAAATTTCTTGAAACTCCAGAGAATTTTTTTTGTATCACTGATTTATGTACCTATATTTTTTTACCTCAACATAATCTTTCGCATGTCCCCAATCACGCTTAGCGTCTAGATTTCCCAGTTCGACGACATCTTGCAAACCCAATTGTATTTTTGCTATCGACCTAGTCACTTTTCTGGTAACAAAATTCTCTCCCCTGCGAGGACTTTCGTGATTAAATAATATACCATTGCACGCAAACATGTTATACGCTTCTCTGTAATTTACCACTATCCAAAAGCTGTATAATTTTGCACACGCTGAAATTTAACAGACTCTAGTCACTTGATATCGAAAGTAATCCCAATGAAATTAAAAATAATATAAAATTAAATAGTCACCATATGGAGAACGTGGGTAAAATGGTGTTTTCTCCGTCTGTGGTACTTCCACCACTCTGCCATAAAGCTCAGACGTGGATGCATGATAAAATTTCACAGATTTTTCTAAACCACAGGTACGTATCGCGTCTAGCAACCTAACTGTTCCTACTGCATCCACCTCTGCAGTATATTCGCTCACTTCAAAGCTCACCTATAAAATCATTACTATTATAATAATAAAAAAGAACTAATTAATCATGTATGAATTAAAAGTTGAAGCTGGGATACGTACCATAACATGACTTTGAGCAGCTAGATTATAAATTTCTGTTGGCTGTACAGAACTAATTACTTTAACTAAACTACTAGAATCTGTCATATCTCCATAGTGCAATTTCATTTTACCCTGGCGATGGCATTTTGGATCTGCATAAAGATGTTGAATGCGGGCTGTATTAAACGAACTAGCCCGCCTAATAATTCCGTGCACATCGTAACCTTTTTCTAATAAAAATTCGGCTAAATAGGAACCATCCTAAAAATACAAATAGTATAAATAATTTGATTCTTACATAGTACATACAGAGTTATATTCATTGAAATACTTCTGTCCACGTGGCAATGATGATTTATATTGCTCCGAACATTAATGAAACATATCAACAAAGTATGAACTGTCAACCTTACTTGTCCGGTAATACCCGTAATTAATGCAACGCGTCTCTGATCACCGGTTGCCATTTCAAGAAACAGTAGAAAAAAATTTCTTTTCTTCGTTATATTCCTTTGGTAGTTGCCAGGTGGTTCGATGATTGTTACACCTGATAAGGTAACACTTTTTCCAGTTCACTGGTTTATCAGACATTCGTACCATTCGTACCCTCCTAATCACTCCTAATTCGTGACTTCACACGCACGCCGCTCGGATGAAGTGTGATAACCACAATCGATACATGTAAATACGAGTACATTACTCGATACTTTTGGTATCGATACCTGCGGTTGTGAACAAAAGTACTCGTATCGAATGGTGAGTATCGACCTGTGTAATAGCACCGACTAGGTATAGAATAGACCTATCATCCAATGCTTTTTTCTGTCCCACGTTCATAGGGCTCCGTAGCCCTGTTACCATTTTAGAAGATTTTTTCAAGAAAAAGTAGTTATTAGTAAAAGTATTGATACCTTGGTGGTATCGATTCAACCCTACCCACAGACCAATTTTTCATTATGTGTCAAAAACATAACATATTAATGAAAAACGCTTTCACGAAATAAGCTAATACGCTTAGAAAACATACAGGCGGCATTACACATACTACTAAATAACATTACGAAGGGTTTTAACCGCTGCGTTAAGGTGTGCGTAAGGTGACCAATCACTTGCGTCGGAGTAAGTCGCGTTTGTATGTGTGTGAAAATTGTTATTTTGCATTGCCATCTTTGCCGCAAAGTGTAGTGTCATTCAAGGGAGACGGTGTTGAGTTTGTGATTTGTAAAGAGAAATTTAAGAAAAATGGCTTTGTTTGCCGAAAATCCGGGTCGATCGTTGCCTGATTATGAAACAGGAGCAACCAAAATGAAGAGTTTTAGTCCATACGCCGATAATGGAGGGTAAATTTCAAATATAACCTGAATACCTTTCAGAGTAACGTATAACAATACAAAGAAATTTATACATATTACTCTTGTACACACGTTGTAACACTTTTAGTTAACAAGGGGATGTTGTTTCATAAATATTGCGAATATTGAAGTTTTCGAAAATTGCTTTTTTGTATTGTAGGAGTGTCATAGCCCTCGCGGGAGACGATTTTTGTGTAATAGCAGCGGACACGCGTCTTAGTGCGGGCTTCTCTATTTACACGCGAGAACAGCAGAAGTTGTTCCCACTGTCGAAGACCACTATTTTGGGATGTTCTGGCTGTTGGTGTGATACACTTACTTTAACTCGTCTTTTGACCGCTCGCATGCAGGTAAATTTTGAGTATATTTATCATCACCAAAGTGAATCCTACACATTATAGAATAACTATTGCATTACTGTGTAATTTTTATACTCGGAAGTTATAGAACTATATGTATTATACAATATACATTGTTTCTCCTATTGAAGATGTACAAACATGAACATCAAAAGGAAATGACAACACCAGCAGTAGCACAGATGTTATCAACTATGTTATATTATAAACGCTTTTTTCCATATTATGTTAGTAATATCATTGGTGGAATAAATAATGAAGGTAAAGGTTGCGTCTATAGTTATGATCCAATTGGACATTGTGAAGTAACAAAATATAGAGCAGGTGGCTCTGCTGGCGCACTTTTACAGCCTCTTCTTGATAATCAGGTATACAAAATATAATTTCGTAAATGAATGTTTCAGTACTTTTATTATAGCTTATTTACTGTATTATGTATCTCTCAGGTTGGATATAAAAATCAGGAAGGTGTTGAAGTTACTCCTTTAACTGAAGAGAAAGCTATTTCAATAATAAAAGACGTTTTCATTTCGGCTGCAGAAAGAGACATTTATACAGGTGATTCTATAAGCATCAAAATCGTAACAAAAGATGGTGTAAAGGATTCCAGTTTCGCGTTGAGAAGAGATTAATTAAATGGGGTGAAAATACTGTATTGCCAGGTTTATCTACGAATAAAAATAATTTCAAACGGTATAATTAATGTTTATTCATTAGTTTCTTTTATATACAGCCTACTGTGATGTATGATGAAATATTGCTTTATAAATTAGTATTTCACTCTATGCACGTACGTTTGATGTATGATGCTTATGAGTGTGTATGCATATATAAAAATGCTATTTATTAACAATGAAAAGATTAGTTCACTGATCCATATACATAGCAACAATCTTGTACCATTAATTCTGTCAGTACATTTCCATTTATCCTACACAAATGAAACTTCAAAAAGATGAAATAAGAAATCTGTTTTATAGAATCAGTGGTGTGTATTTAAAAATATAACAAAATGGCGTATAAAGATAAATTAACAGTTTTATTCGGAGGTCTGGTGTTAGATGCATATGATTTTCTTTAAATTAAATAGAAACGTACTTCTTGTATTTTATACACGAAAATATATCGTAATTATCTATTTTACAATACACGGGAATATATTTAATAAAATAATATTTTATTTTAAAGTATGTAATAAAGTAACCAAAGGTGAACAGAGTGGGTGTAGTAGTTGCTCTCAATCCTACAATTTTTCTTTGCAGTTCTGTTTAGGGAACAAAGTATCAGGGCAGAAAGTCAAAATTTTTCCCCCGAGATTCACTTCTTAGTCCCGGGGGCTGTTAACTGTTTACCACGATCTTTTCCACGTAATTTTATTCCTAGCACTCTTTCGATTTTACCAATCACCATCTGATTTGGGATACCACGGCCTGCTTCGTAGTCATTAATGACTTGTGCCTTTTCGTTTACTTTCTGTAAAATGATTAAGATAGATGAACATCATGCGTACAAAAACATACAGGTTATGCAAACACATAACAATGTTTATACCGTTGCGAGATCTTTTTGTGACATTCCTTTATTTTGTCGACCTTGTTGAATTAATTTACCAAGGTCAAGTGGGATTTTATCATGTTTCAGTTCTTCAGTTTCTCTGTCTAATTTAGCGGTGTTTTTAGTCGTAACATGTTGTCTGTTTGCTCCTCCACCCCCTAAGGAAAATGTATATTTTTACTTTCAGCTCCTTTTTTTATTTTCATATGAAACATGCACTCTCCTTTCTATCTTTTATATTGCACCGTATTATTTGCTATCTTTGTATACACAATGTTGCACAAAATGTCATTGCTATCTCTGTAATATTTTGTACACACACAAGGTCCGCAAAACGTATTACTATTCCCACGCAACGAGGACTTTTTTTTTGTAACTCTGAAAAGGCATGTCGGTTCTTTCGAAGATATTGTACCTACATTTTGCTTGTGTTTCAATCGCAACACCTTGACGACGTGCAGCATTCACCGCCTGTAAATAAACACAATTACACAATCGTGCAAGCAACGGGTTCCCAACGAAATGCATCGAAATTTCGGTCGAATAACATTACCTGCTCCGATTTAAGTACCGAAGCCTTCGGGGGACGTTTACGAAGAGTAATTGGAGCAGTGTCCCAGTCTGACATGCTGAAAAAATCTGATATAACGGCAGCACTCGGGAATTCTATTATCGACGTTAAACGTAATATATGTAACTACTGTGCGGTATTGTACTTGCTTCGAATCTTCCAGCAAGTTCTCTCTACGTTCCAAAAAGCACGATCTAACGTACGCTCCTAAAATCGACCCGCATCGAAATTGTCCAATTCTTACATGTGCACTCCTAAACGTGTTGCTCGAATCTGCCACTCAATTACAACCGTATAAATATTCACTTCGATTCTATTAAATGTCAGTACGTCTTTTTGTTTTTTGTTTTCCTATATAAAACAACTTACTACATGTGGATACAATCGCGAGCTTTTATTCATTTCGTTTTTATTCGATTCTTCCTTTCCTACGACCGCTACATTTGAATTTCTGAGTATAGTACGAGTAAATATTCACGCATAAACATTTTTCGATACGGAATTTGAAATAGGAATGCCTTTGATATTAAATAATAATGTTGTAATGTAAAAGTTACTTTAGTAGATTTAATGAACTTTCACAGCAAATATATTTTATCAATAATAATCGAATTGTATGTGACAAAAAATATTCGGAAAATGTTACACTTTAATAAAATCGGAAAAAAAATAAATGACACGATTTTAAAACAAAAACAGGCAGCACTATTAGTATTTGATAGCACAAGAATCATCTGCTCACATTTCTTCACAGAATGAATGCTCGTCCATTTTTTTTTTCTGTGAAAACAGAATTGAAAAGACCAAAATTATATATCTAGAGCATGAACTTAATCAATGACTAATCTAGCAGACCGAATTTTTCTAATCTATTCTACTCATATTCCACGATAGTGCCGCCAATCGTAGCGGTTGTTTGCTTATGTTGGCCAATGTTGGCTTATGTCATGTAAATGTGGTAACCGTTAAGTCGCTGTTTTCATTGTATTTTCCATTGGTATTTCAAAACGCAGTCTCATTCGAAGAATTTTAAACAAATGCGAAATGTCTTTGATTAGTACACTCTGGAAATGTACATTTAGCCCTCGGCTTTTTAAAGTTTATGAAATAACGTGGACCGGTCAATTAGTTGACGTAAGTACGAAACATTCCACGAAATTCGTACAACCAATTGTATTGTAGGTTAATCTGTTTAATTTATTTCAGAAGTCGTATGAACCTAAAGTCTTGGAACGATGGGGCGATCAAATTGTAATTTGCGTAAGTATTTTTAATGAACACGAAAAATCTCAATCGTGTTAAATATCGCTTAACATTAAACCGGTTAAATCACCTATTGACTTGTTTCAAAGCATCAATTGTGTTATTATTTCCAAGGGAATTTTAGTAACACGAAAATTCTATTTTTCTGGAACTTTATAGGTCTGTAGAAGACCTCAATGAAACTCGAATTTTTTCGGTTACCAAATCTCTGTTGTTAGACCCTTAATGTGTATGGAAGAAATAATATCACATTTTAATTCTATTAAATTCATTTCTTTTCAGTTTGCAGCAATTTGGTCAATAAGCCTATATACAATACCACTAGTTGCCACTTTTTTTTATCAGCGCAGTAATCCTTTATTAGACAATGTTTATCTGCTGTGTAAAGTTGTGGCTGGTGCAGGTATAATTTTAATCGCATCGTTGGCAGCACGTGGTTGTTCCAGAGCTAATAATCCAGTATACTTAAAATTTTTAAAAACATTACACGATGCAACTGCGCATTACAATGCAGAAACAAAGCAGGAACTTCAGAAGTACGAATTTGAATTCTGGGCATGGCCTGTAGATTTTAAAGCTGCAATTGCAGAGGGGTAAATTCTTCTGTTTATTACAATAACAATGAAATAAAACTCTCCTGTATTTTAATGAATCTATGTTTGCAGGGATAAGGCACATGAGAAACTAACTTTAGAAAAAATTGCAACTTCTAGCGGTCGCATAAAAAGGCAAACAAATAAAGACTTTCTAATCACATTGCCTTGTAAATTATTGGCATATATTGTAGCTCACACGTTTGCTATGAAGATGATATATCCTGGAAGTGCATCGATTATTAACTGGGCATTTCGTAAGTTATACATGTGTTATAGATATTTTAAGTTATATCACTATTTAATAATATTATACATTGGTATTGTAGGTTCTACACTTTTGAAAGGACGAATCAGTTTGATAAAACAAGGCGGAGAAAGATACAAACTATTGACCACAGATGGCAATGAAATTGACACTATGTTCATTGACCGACGAAACAAGTAATGTAAACACTTATAGCTTCTTTTTCACGGTTTCATCGTGCAATAAATTATTTTTAAGTAACTTGTTTTTATTGTTCTAGAACAACAAATGGAAACATATTAGTAATTACATGCGAAGGGAACTGTGGTTTTTACGAGAGCGGTATTATATCGACTCCGTTAAAAAAAAGATATTCCGTATTAGGATGGAATCATCCAGGTTACGGTAGCAGTACTGTAAGTATTATTTTTCCCACTAAACTGTTAGCGACGCATTTATGATAATGCTCCGATGAGAAGAATTGCTGTTACTCTTATATGCCAGTTTCGCAAAGATGAAATTTTGCCAATGTTGCAGTTAATATCAGTCGTATATGTGTATTAAATATAATTGAAGTAACGGCAAGACTTCTCCTTCGGCCAAACTATGATTATAAAACTGTAACAGTAAGACATGAAAATGACTACAAAGGGTGCCCCGTATCCTCTCCAAGAAGAAAATGCTATCGATTGTGTAATGCGTTTTGCAATCGAACACTTAAGGTTTACCGAGGAACAAATAATCCTTTACGGCTGGAGTATTGGTGGATACACTGCTACTTGGGCGGCGATGAACTACCCTTCCGTTCGAAGTCTAGTAAGAGCTCGTACAATTTTCATTCTTATACAATTACTTTACAAATCAATGTCAGCTATAATAATATTATTATATTAAGTGTTTCTGAGATAAAATCATTTTAAATTATAGCAGTGTGTGTTCTAGGTATTGGATGCAACATTCGATGATGTACTTCCGTTAGCCATTATGACCATGTCCTCGTCGTTAGAGGGTTTAGTGCGGAATATTATCAGGGACTATTTTAATCTACATATAGCAGAGCAGTTGAACAGGTGCGCAACAGTGTTTCATTAAAACATATTTATACAATCGTATGAACAATCATCCGGTTCTTTTCGTAGATACAATGGACCTGTGTTACTTATACGAAGAACAGAAGACGAAGTGGTATGCATACCTAGTAATACATTAGCAGGAAATCGTGGTAACATGTTGCTTACGAAAGTCTTGATAAGACGTTATCCCCACCTTTTCTTGGAGAATTCGGAATGCGGGGCTCTTTTAACGAGATTTTTGTCTGCTGATGTTTCTACTAGAAGTAAGAGAAATTTAATTAAGATGTTTATATTTCTGAATTATTTTCTTTTAATATTACAATGCAACGATGCATTTAAATTCGTTTCAGAATCGATAATCGAAACGGTACAGGTTGATGAAAAGCAGTGTCCAGAATTAATCGCGAAAGACATAGAAAAAACTGGTGGGATTGTAAATTATCCTTCTACGCTCGGGCAGGGCTTCGATTCGAAAACAAAACAACAGCTGATCCTATTTCTTGTATGTATTACGTATGTGAAAACATTGAATTCTTATCGGTATTTGTACACTTTATACATTTATATTATTTTAGGCAACAGTATACATGAAAGATCAGCCATCGACACACTGTATGCCATTGGCCGTGGATTTATTTAATCCAGGATGGGATCCAGCATCTACGGTAACCGTAAAATAATAAAAGTTCGGTGATATTATAATTAACTAATTATCAGGAACTTTGTTCGAAGTTCATATTTTGACATTAGGTGATACTTTCGGGAGTCATAATAATAGAGGAATCAAGGTTTTAAATTAAGTAATAAATGGATTTATTTACACTGTTTTTTAAAACACATAATAAATACTCGCGGAACTCTCACAAAATTTTCAATGCATTCAACCTTGATTTTACCGGTAAGAGTTATTTATCGTGTAATGAATTCAAGACTATCTTTCAAACTACAAATTTACGGGTATAATAGTTTTTTATATTTCCTTTGAAGCTCTAGTCCAATTTTGATACGTGTGATGTAAAATTTGTATACATTCAGTGATGGAAAAGATACGTGCGACGATGTAACGATACGTTTATATTGTAAACAATTTTTAGAAAAAGTCATTGCAATAAATGTGGAATTCGATGGTATATTAATAGATTTTTATTTTTCGAAAACTTGTAACTAATTCGAGTCTAGGAATTTGTAGATGTTTTGTGAAAAATTGTTACGAAATGCAAGATTCGCACTGAACACTTAACGATTAATGATTTGTATACATCACACTATACATAATTATTTTTCATTGTAAGGCTGTATAAGATCACATGTGTTCTAGAAGTTTCAAAATATTTAAACAATAAATAGATACATCTTATATCAATGTTCAGCAAGCAAATGTACACGTAAATTTTAAGATCTATTACGTTGAATACGATTTAGAGCAGCTTTAAGCGAATTCTTCGTTTCCTGACACGAATCTGTATTCTTTCTGTTACTGGTCAAATCTAAGAAAAAGTTTAACGTAGTTCGTGTGTCTTCTAAAAAGTAGTCCTTGTGAATTATTTGTTCTAACGCTTTAAAACAACCTTCTAAATCCCAATCAATTTTTTGATTGTGCTTATCTTCGCTCTGAAATGAACGGTGTGTTACATTTTTAATTTGTACAGTACCGACAGATTTGTGAATTAATTCTGCACAGATACTCACTTTAATTAAACCTAAGTTGACTAGTAGGGCATGAGTCAAAATGGCTGTCTTGTTAGTTTCGACTGCATAAGAGCATAACTCCGAATACAATGCATTTGTAATAAGTTGAGCTTTTAAACTAACAATAGTGTCAGTCGAATATAGCGACGACACTTTCATAACTATTCTTGTAAGCTCTTCGATGAATTTCTGTGTGTGAGATGTATTCGCGTTGTTTGATAATTCCTAAAATAGAGAACGAGATACGTTCTTGAGAATTATGGAATGCTATTAGACGGCTGAAATATTATATCTACTCACTTTGGCATGGTTTATAAAGTCTATTACAAAGTCACCTTGTAGTGACAATAAATTGTCAGATGTTGGTAATTTTAAAAATTGTTCTACAGTCACTTTTGATACTGCGATATTGTCTGGTGTTGTGTTACCATTTTCAACTGTATCTTCATTTTCAACTATATCTTCATTTTCATCATCATAATCATTACTATCACCTTCGCCGTCATCATCGCTATCATCATCATTATTATCGCCGTCTTCGTTTTCTTTACTTTCGCTTTCACTGTTCTCTTCTATGCCTTCGTCACTATCGTCTGCATCACCTTCATCATCTTCCATGCTCAATGTCCCAATTCTTTCAGAAACAGTAAGCGATTTTTGCAGTATGTCGCGTCCTTCTTTGCCAAAAGCATTTCCGTCCAATTGTAGAGTTGTCAGCTGCTCTTTATCAGCCATTGCAACAGCTATTGGATGTGCACCATTCTTACGGATTTCATTGAAACTTAAATTCACTTTCTGAAGCGAAGGATGGTTACCCTCAATTCCCAGTGCCCTTGCAAGGACAATACTACCTTGCGTTTTGAGTAAACAATCTCCTAAATTGAGTTCTTCCAAATTTCCAAAATTCGGTAATGCTTTTGCAAGAGCCTTAGCTCCTTTTATCCCAACTGTATTATCATTGAGATCTAAGATCCTCAATCCTGGATTGGCAGACAATCCATTTGCAAGGGCCGTTATACCTTGGTAGTAAATACCATTCTGAGGCATCACAACTTCTTCTAAACTAGTCAATTTCTGGAAAACTGATGCCAGTGCAGTTGCACCCTCGTTTTCTAGCCTGTTCCTCCCTGCTACAAATACTTTCAATGCTAATGGAGATGTTCCTGCAGAAAGAAAAATAAATAAATTAACTATACTCATAAATTTAAAAATGATCAAATTAATAGAAAAAGACCTGACCTGTTTTAGAGCTATTTTCATAGCAATTGGACAATGCTTTTGCCAACATCTTGCCACCTGATATTCCAAGTCCATTGTTATTCAATCTTAACTCCTGGAGAGTATAACATGTACTGGAGGTCAAGAAATTAGCCAATCCTTCTACACCGATCGGGCCGAAAGCATTATCACTTAAGTCTAATTCTACAAGACATGTACCAGCAGCACATAGACTACTGCCAAGATATTGAATGGCTTTCGGTATTTCTGTTTTCAAACGACCAGTAAACATATCTTTCCAAAGAGCACGTTTCAGGAAAGAACCTTTCTCCTCTAATGCTTGAGCTATAGCTTTAGCAGCAAGTGGTCCCAATGTGTTACCTTCTAAATCCAGAAACTCCAGCTTGATACATTCTCGTATCGCTTTAACCACTTCCGATGCTATTAAATGACAAAAGGAGTCGATGTTGAATTTATATAACCTGACAAACGTTTGCACTGATATGCAGAATCTTCTAAACGTACTCAACAACGCGACAAAAAAACACAATATTAAGTGTCACAAATCTTTAAAAAGTACTCACCATCTTCTTCAGTATTGAGCTTCAGCGATTTATGTGCGAAAGAAACGCCGGTACTGGTAGCAATTTGAGTAATATCTTTCAATTGACTTCCAAGTTCGCTTAAATTAAATGAAGCCATACTTGGGTCCATTTGCACTTAACCACACTGTGTAACGATAACTATTTTCTTGATATATCTTTAACGATTGTAATCTTGAAAAATGATGTATAAGACAACTATCACCTACACTTATTCATACTGTTTGCACGACAAAAGCGCGTCACGCACGCGTTAACGTACGCGGGAGAAGTCTACCAACTTGAGAAAGAAATGAATATCAATTTTTTCATTACGTGTGTTTTTCATTAACATGTAAATTTGACCTGTATCATTCTATATTATCTATAATAATCTATATAATTATGTATCTCCTATGTTTTCTTATGAATGCTGTGTCATTTTGTATTCTATTTAATCGAAACGATTTAAGATTTTAGCTCTCGTTAAAAATTGTACTTTGGAGTTACCATTCTATAGATTTTTGCGTCACGTTAAAAAGAAATAAGATAGACGTTCCTTTTTTACGACAGTCACAAAAAAATATGAGCATGAATATTAATCAATAAATCACGATGAAAGAATTTTTGTGTTCTCTAACGATTTGAACTAAAAGATCTTCTATGAAATAAAGAATTCTGCAGGAGAAAATACAAATAACGGAATTGTTTTTTGTTTCTCATGCAAAAATCTTAAGAACATTTCGAACGTATTATTATCATTATATGATTTATAACGATGATTATAATATGTAACTACAATACAATTTTCCTTAATAATTATTTTATTATTATAATAATGTTTCGTTTAATCACATAAAATCGTGTGAGATGACATAACCATAATATGATTTTGTAATTGATCTAATTACAGTGCTTAGATATGACATTCAGTTAATTATCAACTATTCATCTGCATACATATACCGATACTAACCGAAGTTAACTGCAATAACTAAACGAATAGCTGATTACGTGCTTTCAAGGTCACTATTGTCAAAATGTTAAAATACACCCAGCTTGAAATTATATTAGGTTCTTTCATTTTTGTTATAATAATATCAAACAACCTAATAAAAGGTTGGAGTAAAATTTTGATCTAGGTAAATGCTTAATTTTTAGTAACATTCCTTTTATGAGGCAACACACCGCTGCAATCGTACCCTCACGAGCAACTCGGGTTCCGCTAGGGGAAAAAGTGGCGCAGGGGAAGGGTCTCCCACCACTTGATACATTTATTTCAAGTCCCGAAATAAATGTTAATTTAGCATAAATTTCAATAATTCCCAATACCAAGTGGTAAAAAGCCTTTTCCTACGTCACTTTTTCCCCTAGTGGAAGCCGAGTTTGCTCGTGGGTGTACACAACGATTGCAGTGTGTGTGGCTAGCGGAAGATTCATAAAACTTTTGGTCTTTCTTAAGAAATCACCCCCACCACGGGAGTTTCAGGACCTGTGTATACGACCGTGCTTCAACTACAGCCGTAGGAGAATCCCCCTAGAATGAGAGAAAAGTTAACCAGTCACTGTCCTCTCTTTCTAGTGTCGACTTCATCGCTACCACAAGACCGCGCAAGCTATTATACATGCTATGGCAGAAACAGATTAAACAGAGTTGCGCGCCCAAACGTACCGGTCGGTTCTATATCTGCGTACCGTGTTTTCATAGGTGTACACCCGCAGTTGCAGTCCACTGCTGCACAGTCCGCACCCGTGCGTTCGTGTAGTGCGTCTCGGAAGACTCGCCTTATCAGAAAACACCATCGACGTGTATATATACGCATGCACACGTACACACACGCGTACGGCAAATCGAATTTCAAAAGCAGTGGAAAAAGGGTCCGACGGCCGTGAACGGCGTACCATCGGAGAAGGAATAAGGTATCGGCGTCGTGCATTCGCGTTCATGTGGCCAACGTAAGGCGACAGCGGTGTGCGGGTCTCTCGATGACGAGGCTGGTGGTTGTTTTGAGGCTGGAGTGTTACCCGATTAGAATGGTTGCAAGTGTCGCGCGCGCATCGCTGCCAGGCCGTGGTGTTGTGCCAAAATAAATCAGCGTTAGTTGTTCCGCTCGCTGGGAACTGCCAGTGAACGAATGTGTTGTCTCGCCGTTCCGAACTGTTTCGTAGAGGCGGGCGGGCCGAGCTATGCGGTATCGCGATTACCCGCTCTTTTGTCTCGAGGACTATGGGTGTCATAGCCGACCGCTGATGTGCGTTCCGGTATTTTAAAAGCGAATCGGCCCCGCCGAGCGGAAGTGTTTCTCTCGTGTGGCCATCACCGTTTTACCTCTACCTCCCCGAGGATTTCGATTTCCTGCCACGGGCCGAGTTGCACACCTGAAACGGGGCTGCGGCACGCAAATTCCTGACTCCGTGTTTTCGACAACCTTATCCGCCCTGACGTGATTCGCCCGGTTTGCCCGCCACAGGACGGGTTATGTTTCCCACTTTCATCGGGATCCTAGGTGAGCATTGGCGTTCTCCTCGTGATACGAATCGCTGACTAGACGGACTTCTTTTATTTTTTGTTTATTTTTTTGTTTCTATTCTTTTTTTTTTTGTTTGTTCACCACGACTGTGTATCAGAGTGATTATCTCTCGGGGAAGATCGATGCCCACAATCGAGAGTCCTTGTCAATGACCCCGAGTTTAGCAACAGAATTATTTTCATTGTTTCTTTTTTTTTTTTTGTTTCTCGTTCTTCCTTCTGTGTTCTTTCTCTCTTTTGTTTTACTATTGCGTTACATTCTACGCAGGGATATATATCAAAGCACGACCGCATTACACTCATGTTTGCGATTGATATTTATTTACCGAAGGTGGTCCCGCTTGATTATTTTGAAACGTAGCTCTTTACGTGCGAACGTTAAGATTTCTCTTTTTCAGTTTTGTTGTTCAAGTGACACGGGTAGCTTCGTTACGTGGTAGTGAATGATCGTGAAATTGTGTTTTGACGACTGGTAGACAAACCCGTAATTAGCATTGTTAAATAAACAGTAATGTTATTGACGAGAGGAATCGTTGAGTTAGCCAGCTGTTTCGTATATTTCTGGTTTCTGAGTATGGTTGTAAATAAAACTCCGATTTCTTGAATATCTTTATGTTCTTTATGTAGGTACATGATGATGAAATTTGAGAACTCAACGTTTGTTTTCTGAATTGTATGAATTGTAGGTAATTCGAATTGTAATACTTGCAACAAAAATAGTGGCTCATTAGGGAGAATGCTGTTCATTTGATAATAATAAAAAAAAGAATCGCCCAAGTCAGATTATGCAAATTTTACGAGTAAACATATAAATTTGTATTATAATGGAATCACTTCGAATGAGACGTACAAGGTTGTTTGGGAGAAAACAGATAAAATCTTTTAATATTCTTAGAGGTAATTCTGAATAAAAAGTATCACATATTTTGTAGATCGGTCTCCAATTGTTACAAATTTAAAGTATAATTTTATTCATTTTTTAATGTATGTTACATTCTATTATCTTGTCTTTACTTAAATACTAAAGGTTTTGAGTAAATTGAATACTTTTTATTTGTAAACAAATTTCAAAGGTTTCCTTCTAACTCACCTTGTATCTCTCAGAAATAATGTTACAGTTCATTTTTATCAGTAGCAATATTACATTCTTGGTTTCACGTAATATATTTCATTGAAATGAAATGTAATACACTTCTATTTGAAATTATTAACAGACTATCACTGTAAATAATGATTCCATGTGAAAGAAAGAGTCATTCCAGAGATAGAAGAAATGTAATGTCAAGGAACTCTCAACCGTTCCTTTATTTTTTTAGACATTCAATCGTGGTGGGAGGTGCCAAGTATAGCACACTTTTGCTCATTATTTAGGGCTGCCTTCAATCTTCTGGACTTTGATATTGAGGTACTCACCTGAATGCTGACTCGTACGAGTCAGCATTGCGTAAGAAATTTGTTAGTACCGCTTCAGCTTTCAGGAACATAACTAGATCACGCTTACGGCTTTATTATGTTACTAACAGCTTGTGCATTACTTTTTTTGGTTGCTGCATCAGATAATCTTCTCGAGCAATGTGTATCAGTCATGCGCATCTACTTATGCATTAATTGTAAATCATTCTAGGACTTAGAGGAAGCTTTGTTAACGGATGGCGGAACTGAGGGGCATTTAGTACAGGAACTGATAGTCCGATTACTCGAAGGCTGTTTACCTAATGACACTCGCAATGACATCTCCACCTTTAATTATCAAATGTTTCTACGCCGATTGTTTCGTAAGAAATGTCAGGTAACACAAATCCTATTGCATTTCCATACTAAAGATACGTATTTTGGTATTGTCGTTAAGAATGAGCAGCATGTTCTTCTGTTTTAAGGAATACAAATGCGAGAATCCTTTTAATACAGATGTAGATTTCGAGTTATTGCCTCTACGTCAGAAAGTAGAAATATTGAGAGCCCTCTGTGACTTCAGGCTCGACGCCGAAGACGTGGTATGTCGTTTGAAAGTGTGCACAACATTATTCGTCGAGTATTAATATGGTTTATTTTTTTTTTTTTTATGTTTGCTTTCAGGAGCAATCATTAAATAATTTGGACTCGGATAGTCTGCGAGTCGAACCTTTAGGACATGATCGTAAGAATTCTGCCTACTGGTACTTTTACGGCACTCGATTATACAGGGAGGACTACATCGACACTGCTGACAGCGTCTCGCACAAACCGAAAAGTAAACCTAGGGACAAAAAGCGTAAAAGACGACGAAACAGAGTGGCGACGACGGAAGAGGAAGAGGAGGAGAAGAAGGAAGACAGTTTAATAGACGAGGAGGGGAAAGAAAGTGTCTGGCAAGTGGTCTGCTTTACTCAGCAGGACTGGAGTCGTTTAGTTGAGAAATTTCGCGATTCGGTAATTGTCTCATTGAACGAGTGTTAACCGCTTTCTCCCGTTTAGATCTGTTTAATAATGTTGTTATGCTACTTAGGAGTACGATACCGAACGTAAGCTCTACCGTACTCTGTCCAAGGATTTCATGCCCGAAATCCCCAAGCTTTTTGACTTAAAGGAGAAGCAACAAAGGCGCAGGCTGTTGCAGCGAAATAGTTCGCGGGTTCTTCGTAGCCACGAGCCGGCAGCGACACAGATGGAAACAGTCATGGTTAGATCGAAGATTAAAACTAAAACGAACAAAGGGAGCAAAAAGGGGGCCCAGAACTCGAAGAATGTTTATGTTAAAGAGGAGACACCTCCGCCGTTATCCTCGCCGCCCGTTCAGAAGAAAGGACGACAGACGAATAATTCGTTAGCGTCGGCTGTCGGTCAGATTGTGATTCATACTAGGGACGAAGTGGAAGGTTTAGAGAAAAAGAAAGGGGTTGGAAGTAACAGCGATGGGAATTTTGTAGCTTCCAACTATGGGTATAAATTTGGATATTCGTTTGGAATCGAGGAAGAGGAACGTCGCGTTGGGATGCACAAAGTTCTCGAAAGTCTCAAGGATCATGTGGATGCATGGCCGTTCATCGATCCTGTGGATGAAGAATACGCGCCACGGTATAAATGTTGTCACGAAACAGTAATGTATCCCTGCTAGTCTGTCTATCGAGGTACCCATTTCCCTCATTTTCTCTGGAAACTCCTCGAAAAAAAGAAATCATAATCGAGAGGAATATAGCGGATGCGTAGAATAAGTAATCTATCGATGGAAAATTAATGTGTTAAGGCTTCGAATAGCGAGCTACTAGAGAGACATTACTGTAGAATCGAATGTATTATTAAAATTGATACTAATCTGGCGGGATATTGATATTATCCTTCGAATGTAGGTACTATAGCGTCGTACGGAAACCTATGGATCTCAGTACGATGGAGGAGAAACTCGAAGGTGGTTTATACAAAAGTTTAAATATATTCAAACGAGATTTTCGTCTTATAGTGGACAACTGTAGGCAATACAATGGGTCTGACAATGGTTTGTGTTGCTTATTCGATTATTGTTTGTTTAAATAAAATTTTATGTATGCAATCCTCGTTTAAACGTAGATTTACATTAACTATAATCTGACTTTCTTACAGAGTACACTGAAATGGCTTTCAATTTAAAGGATGCGTTCGATAAGGCTGTAAATCGGTTTTTGGAATCTGAAACATCTAGCGATGAAGATCCATCGTCGCCGAAATCGTTGCCCGCGACGCCCGCGTCACCGTCCTGTCCATCGCAAGTCTCTTCTCCGCATCAAAATCGCAAACGGTCGAAGAAATCCACGAAAAAATCGAAATCGTACAAATCCGACGGTAAAGGAAAATCCAAAGTAACAGAGAAAAATGACGAGGAAGAAAAACGAGGGAAGAATTATAAGCTTCCGAAGAAGAAGAGGGGGAAGAAGAAGAGTAAAAAAGCGAAGGACGAAGAATCGTTGAACGAGGAAGAACAAGATGATCAAGAGAGCGAAGATGCGGTGTCCGAGTCGAGTATCGTGACGTCGAAAAGAAGGAAACATATAGACGCGAACAATTTGTTGTTGAAAACCAAAAAGCTGTCGCCCAAAGAGTCGGAGGAGTTGAAGAAGATGAATAAGAAAACAAGTAAAGAGCGTCATCAGCAGAAGAAGGAGGCGGAAAGCGTACGGCCGATTAAAGAATCGAAGGAGAATAAGAAGCGAAAGGAAGACTTCGAGGAAGATTACGACTCCCTAGTCATCGCGAAAAGTAAAAGTAGGAAGATCGAGAAGAAAGAACTCGAGGAGACGGAGATATTCACAGATAGCGCAAAGAAGAGCAAGGCGAAGAAGGTGGAACTGCCAGAAGACAAAGATGTATCGGAGAACAAGAACAAGACACAGCATATCAAAGCGAAGAAAAATCGGAAGAAAGAGAAAGCGGGGTTGAAAGCGTTGAAGCCCGAGGAAAAGGTCGAGAAGAACCGTGGAAAGGACAAGCAAAAGAAATCAAAGCAGAAAAACGATGATGCGAAAAACGGCGAGATATCCAGCGAATTAGATTCCAAAGATTTAGACCTAGAGAGCGATGTAGATTCGAAGGAAACCCCTACGTCTAAGAAGATTGCTGCATTTATAGGTGATAAGGATATAGAATCGTCTGACGGTGTAAAGGACAAACTAAGCGAACGACGGCGAGAGGAGAAACTGAAGAGCGAGAAAGAGAAACCGAAGAAAACTGGGAAAAGCGACATTCACAACGTGTATTCAAAAAAAGTGCCTTCAAACGGTAGTACCTTTAACGACAGCGATAAAGCCGGCGCGAAACGACCAAAGTTAAAAAAGGGAATGAAAGACGAGAAAGTTCCTGGCGCAGAGGATCCTGTGAAAACCCAAGACCAAGAGGCGGCCGAGACCAAGAAAGTGAAATCTACAAGCAAGCATACCAAAGGATTTGGAAAGGAGGAAAGCTCGATACAGGCATTGAATCAAGCAACGGAGCAAACACTCCATGTAAGAATATTTTCTGTTTCACGTTTAAGCTAATTCGTTGAATAATATTTCGCAACATTGTTTCTATGATTCTTTTCTTTCTGCCTCCAAACAGGACATCAACAAGTGGCTAGACGACGCGCCAAGGCTCTCTGAATTTTCCTCCGGGAGCGATTCTCCGATATTTCATTCGTCCGTTGAATCGGCACGATCTGGACCAAAGGTCGAGGCGCCGCGTAAACGACCAAGTTCCATTAAGATCTTTGGCCCTCACGGACCCAGTAGACCAAAAAAGATACAGCGTACGATAGACCGTTTGCAGCCCGGGAAAAGTAAGGGGAACTTACTATTGAAGAAACCGCTTAATTTACCTAACGTGAGCGCCAACGAGACGGCGGTGCATCCGTCGGCTAGCGACAATGACCAGGCAAACAAGAACGCCGACGAGGAACCAAAACTTAGTTTAGGAACAGTCTTGAAGAACGTCGATTCAATTCAGTTGATTTGTAAAAGTTTAGTCTCCTCGCCGAATCCGAATTTTTCAAACGACGACGAGGAAGAAGATCACAGCGTTGTCCCGACGATCCCAGCGCCTAGTTCTAAGGATGAGAAATTATCGTCCAGCAAACCGGCTGCGCAGGCATCCACGGAGGTAGAGGAATCGAAAGACAGTCAATCGAATTCGAAGGACACGCCGAAACCTAAAGCGGCGACACCGAATTTGAGTGCCTGGTTCAAGGCATTCGGTGCTCCGAAATCAAAGAAAAAGGAGGACGAGTCGGAGGACGGCGCGACGACGAAGAAGGACGGCGAGTCGCAGGAAGTGTTCTGTGGAAGACAGCGAAGAATGAGTACCGGTGGTAGTAGTGTGAGTGAATCCGTTTCCAGTTTCTCTCAAGAGTCACCGCCAGGACGTTCAGGACGGTCCCCGCAGGCGCAACCCATTGTAGCTTCCGTGGAACCGCAAATAAGAGGAGCCGGATTCTACCAGGATGCTCTATCGACAGGAAGTAGTCCTTACAATAGTCCTTACTATGCCACACCCCCAAGATACAGTGCTCAGTTGCCACCCACCCCGTCACCACAGAATCATCCCTTATCACCAGCCTATCCATCGTCATCTTATGAACAGGCACCTCTCTACTCTCAGATACCGCCTCCTCAACAATCTCATCAAACGTTTCAAAAGTCACCACAAGAAAATTCCGGGGAAGTGTTCCATCAATTGTCCCCTACGTTTCCACAACGTTCACCACAGACTAACTTCCCGCCAAATTCTACACCGAACGAGTCCTATACTCAACCATTACCACCATCGACTAATCAAGAACAATCCCCGGTCTACTCCCAGCACTCTCCTCAGCCAATACAACAGGTTTATCCGCAACCGTCCCCCCAGCCACCACCGTCGAATTACTCTCAGCCATCACCGCAACAATCTCCTACTCCTAAATACTCACAATTGTCCCCGCAACAGACTACCGCCAATTATTCGCAGCCTTCTCCACAGGCATCCAATTATTCTCAGGCTTCGCCACAGCAACCTCATTCCCCCTACTCTCAGCCTTCTCCACAAGCACCGCCTCCCACTTACTCCCAGCCGTCACCCCAGCAACAACACTCTCCTTACGCGCAATCCCCCCAGCAATCGTCCGGCTATTCTCAGCTCTCCCCTCAACCGCCGTCAAACTACTCTCAACCGTCGCCTCAACCCCCTCCCGTCTACCCGCAACAATCAGAACCTTCGAACTTTTCTCACCCGTGTCCTCAGACTTGTACCACCGATTACTCCCAGCCATCGCCTCAGCCTCTAACCGGCTATTCCCAACCGTCCCCTCAACCAAGGAATTATTCTCAACCCTCCCCTCAACAAATTCAAACGTTCCCGCAACCCTCGCCGCAACCACCACCCACCTATTCTCAGACTTCCCCGCAAAACACGCCCTATTCTCAGCCATCGCCGAAACCGCCGGCCAAGTATTCTCAACCGTCGCCTCAGCAACCCACGAATTACTCGCATTCGATACACTCGCCTCAAACCCCGCAGAATTATTCACAACTGTCCCCCCAACAAGCTCCACCTAGCAGTTATTCTCAGCCGTCACCGTCGTCCCAGCAATCCCGTAATTATCCGCAACTCTCTCCGTCGCCCCAGCAATCACGCAACTACTCGCAACCGTCACCGTCTCCCCAGCAGTCCCGCAACTACATGCAACCGTCACCGTCCCCCCAGCAACAACAGTCCCGTAACTATTCCCAACCGTCGCCGCAACAAAAATCCACCTGCACCGCGCAACCGTCGCAGCAACCAACTACTCCCAGTTACTCGCAAACGTCGCCGCAGCAGACTGCTAGTTACACGCCGCAGCCTCCTAAAACCACCGAGGAGTGTCCTCAAACCGCGGCTACCGGCTCGACTTATCCTCAGGGATTTAAACAGAATCATTCTTACATACAATCACCGGCCGCGACGCCGTCCATCAGCGAAACGGAGCATCGAACAACCACGCCGACGGAGTACCTGAAATCCGCCGCCGGTAGTGTAGAGAAATCGTCGTCAAGCGCCGAGCAACAGAGAAACTTCACCGTACCGACGGAGGCGTCGTTGAGCCTGAACGCGAATCATCAGATCTATCAGTCGTCGGGTCAGTATCCACCGCCGACGTTCGGGAATAATTATCCTAACCTCGAACTTCAGAGGTCACGGCCGGAGCAACCGCAACAACAACAACAACAGCAGCAACAACAACAATCGTCGGAACGTCCAAGCTTCGCCGATCTCAGCGAGTCGTTGAACGCTCAGAAGTACGTTCAGCAACGTTCGTTTATCGGTAAAACGTCGACCGCCGGTGAACAGTTACCGTCGCAGGATCAGTCGCAGCTGCTCGCGTTCCAACAGAATCTGACCACGCACGAGTCCCTTTATCCGAGCGGTTTCCAACCGTCCGGTTACCCGATGTCGAATACGCGACCGGTTTACCCGAGTCCGCATTATTTCGACGCCAGCTCGAAAACCGCTGGCACCGGTGGATCCGTGAATAGTTCGACCAGCGGCAATCTTCCGCCCGTGAAGAAACGTATATACAATGAAACGTCCGCGGACGCGACCCGGGGCATGACGCAGGAGCCTGTCACGAGATCCGGCCAGGAGCAGTTCGGCTTCGATCCGATAATGGCGTTACCGCAACCAGACGCGATTTCGGCCAGTCAGTTCGACGCCTCGTCATTCGTGGGGAACCTGGCTGACTCAGTGGCCACGAATCCAGCATATGCGCGTCTCAGTCTGGGTCTGGTGGGCCGTGCGAGCAAAGAGCAACAACAATTGTTAACGATCCCACGGCCGCCGCCGACCAAACCGGAACACTTGGCGTATGCTCGTAGCCCAGCCGCAGGTGCCGCCGAATTGGATCTTAACCTCCTTCAGAGTCTCCAAACGGCTGCGGCCGCGAAGAACACTCAAGGTATACTGTCCATGTCGCGCAGGGGTGGTGGGGAGGCGGGCACCACGTCTGCGCCAACGAAAACGAAGAAAAGTCGTAAAAGCAAACAGCAGCAGCAACAACAACAACAACAGCAGCAGCAGCAGCAGCAACAACAGCAAGAACAACAGAACGTAGTGAACGTTTCGTCCGCAGTGAGCAGCACGGAGCAACAATCGGCGACCGGTATACCCGGGTTCACGCAGTACACCGGCACACCCGGCGATTCGATCAGTTTGAAAAATTCCGCCATGGTCCCGCCGGCTGGTAGCGCCTTTAATTTCGCCGCGTCCACAAGCAACACCTCCGGGTCACCGTTCTACGATAAGGATGCAACCGCGGCAGCGTTCGCGTTTCTCGATGAGTTTCGGAACCCGAACAGTTACTACAGTATGGCGCTCAGGCAGCAACAACAACAACAACAACAACCCCAGGTGCCGCCAGTAACGGATGCCGCGCAACAGGCGTGCAACAAACTGACCAATCAACCACCGAGAAACTATCCGCCGCATCCTTTTCTTCATTCCGCACAAAGGTCAGCTGCGTACGGGCCGCCAGTGTCCGCATACGTCACGCCACACGGACCGAACTTGACCATGGACCCGACCGCGTATCAACAATACATTCATTCCCTGTACGCGCTTCAACCGCCGCCGCATCATCATCGACCGTCCTGGCTTTAGCCGTTAAAATCATTTTAACGGGCCGTTTTTGAACGTTTGTACACCGACGTCCAAACTCGGCTTTCGCTAGGGGATAAAGTGAGGTAGGTGAAGGGCCTCCTACCATTTAGTTTTCGGAGTTACTGAAATTTATGCCAAATTAACATTCAGTTTAACATTTGTTTCGATACTTGAAATAAATTTACTAAGGGATAGGAGACTTTTCTTCTACGTCACTTTTTCCCCTAGCGAAAGCCGAGTTTGCGTGTGATGTACCCTCACGAGCAAACTCGGTTTCCGCTAGGGGAAAAAGTGTCGTGGGGGAAGGGTCTTTTACCAAATTTATTTCGAACACTGAAATAAATGTTACATCGACTGTTAATTTGGCATACGTTTCAATAGTTTCCGATGCTAAATGGTAGGAGGCCCTTACTCTTACGTCACTTTTTCCCCTAGCGGGAGCCGAGTTTGCTCGCGAGGGTACGATGACAGTTCGGTGGATTACATACATCGTGCCCCTCCCGGCATAAAGCAGTAAGGGAACAGCGTTTGGAAACGGGGGCGAGAACCCGTGGCGTGTATTTGATCGAACAGATCGATTCGACGACGGTAAAACTTATCCGTGTATCATAGGACAAAGATTACACTATAACTATTTATAATCGTGCTGTGTTCCTGACGGAATACTTTTTAGAGCAGGCGTGCTATCTTTTAATTGGGGAATTTCTTGTTCTTTAACGGTTTTGCCACTTGTTTAGTCACCGGTGACAGAACCAACAGACGGGTTATAGAATAGACATACACACACACACACACATAGTATCCAAATGTGTTTCTTTGTGTCTCGTGATTCCGAGAGCTGTATAACTCTCTTATCGTTACCGATTCGAAGCAAAATAAAATAATATTGTTAGTGGTAAGAATTTCATATTAAACGTAGTGAAAAACGACGTGTTAAGTTTGTCAGGAGTAACAGTTATAGTGCAATTATTATTTTTATCATCTTTAGTTTAATGTGTATATGTATTCAAGAAATAATTATATGTAGAGATTTTAAGCGTTCTTTTTTTTCTTCTACTAATTTTAGCGACTGGGCTCGTAGCATAGTTCTCAACGTCACCGTGCTTAATCGTAGAGGGCGTAATGAGACGATGCATTTTTTTGACGAAATAAGTATTTCAGGACGTGTAAGACACAAATTACCATAAAACGTTTCATTCTATACCCTGTCTGTGGTGACAAAGAAAATTCACTGCTGGTTGTCGGCGTCCAACGGCGAATATAACATTCGTTCCCGATTACAAACGCTGTTTCTTTAAAAATTGTTTCTCTCTGTAACTACCGTCAGAACTTTTTTCTTTCAGAAAACAGTACCGGTGTTTTTCTTGTTTGAACTTAATTGACCAACGGGGATCGGCCGTTATAATAGATTATTAACTCGAGAATCTTTTTCAATACTTTTTTCTTTTCTTTTAAAAGTAACGATCGATTCATTTCGCTGACCCTCGTCTGAATGTTTCTCTAATTTTAGTGTCTTTAAGAAATTTTACCATTTCCTACAGAAGAATTCCGGTACTTATATTAGAAGACAGAGTAAAGTTCTGATCAGGATGTGTTCCTCGAGATTGTCGAACGAGGCACCGTGAACGTCAAACAGTAAATGAATCGGGCAAGAACGATCATTCGCTTCTTTTTCTTTTTTTTTTTTTGTACATGTATGTTTTACTGATTGACTAGGGAACGACGGATTTTTAAAGCTCTCTTGAAATTAGGGTACCGGGTTGCCCTGTCTCCCCGTTCTTTCGCATTTGTTTCCCCCTTTTTCTTTTACCGAAAACGATACGAATCTTTGACATTTTTACACGATTTATCAGGAAAAAAAAGAGAAGAAAAGAAAAAGATGTTTAGCTTTTATCGAATAATCTACTATGTAGTCATATGTACATAAAGAGTAAGCCTACTTCGCGTAGGAATTTTTGATAGTTCTTTTTCTAATGAACTAGTCGACAACTTGTTTAGACGCCGTGAAGTTCAGTCGCCTAGTGACCGGAAGTAACCTTCTATCAAAAGTTCCTCTGTCCACCACGCTCTTACAGCGCCACTATCTATTTCTCTTTCTCGATGTATCGGGAATAATGAATTACGCAATATTCGATTTTCTAGCGAAACGCGAGGAAATGTACGACTCGTTCGCGACAGCGCTCGTAATGTCCAGCCTGTTGTAAATTGTTGTTTTTCATTTCCACACCTTCTCCACTTTACGTTCGATCAAAGAAAACGATACGAGAATGGCTAGACAAAACGTAGAGGTATACGTGACTTCTAAGTTCGAAGAATTTCTGTATGATATCGAGCGCACTGTTGCCGGTGTATCTTATGTAGAGTATATAGATTCGATAGTACGTAAGCTAGAATTTCTTTCTTTGTATATAAAATACATATCCTTCATAGACGATGTGCTCGATGTAAAGAAAGATCTGCAAAGTCAAAGACCTTGTAGAATCGTCCGCGGTAGGCTAACGAATGGGACATTTGTAGGAAAACTAATAGATGCGCGTGTAAGAACATCCTCGCACGAGTATATATGTGTGTGCGTGATTGTGAATCAAGTGTGTATGGGTTTACGTGTGTTTGTGCGTGAATCGTGTGTGCGTGGGACGAGGACAAAAAGTGTAATTCGCCGCGATCATACATTAACCTTATTGCTAAAAGAAACTGATGGAAGCGGTATATTAAAACTTATAAATATATACATATATATTGTAAATGTATATTGTAAATGTATCAATGACAGATTAAAGCACAGTTTGTTACAAAATCGTCTGTAATTTGTTTATTCGTCGGTTATCTAATTTTGTTACCTATTTACAATAAAATAAATAAAGGTAGACTGCGGATTTTATGCGTGTACGGAACATGTAGATACGTAAAATATAATGAACACAAAATAAAATAAATATTTCAGAATGGGAAGTTTGTATAAACATTTTATCTCTTTCGGAAGGCCTTGTAAGCAATTATTAGTTGACAGATTAATTAATTCAATTGTTCGCGCCGAAATTCTCCGACCAATATCATTAAGTGTTCTGACTTTTTATACGAACTCATTGGCGAAAGTAACGTAGTGGTATGGAAGTGTTCAAATGCGTTCTTTTCACTTTGTAGTATATGCGTGTCCTGCGTTAACGTAATAATGAATTATTTCTAATGAATAATATGTAAAATAGAAAGTACTTATTTTAAATTCAAGTCGAAACTTAATATTTCCGTAGAGTGACATACATAAATATGTATAATAAAATGAAACATAATAGTACGCGTGGTATGTGAACATGATAACTACGGATCCGTATCATTCCTGAGTTTCAGTTTAGACGATGAAAATTGCAGATACAGCAAGAAGGTGTTATAATTATACTTAAAGGTAGGGGAGTGTTTCTGGGTAAAGTACACGTGTAGAATGCGGTCGTAAATCATTTGTGAAACATGATTTAAAATCTTCTAATTTATAAACGCTTATAAAGTTTCAAACTTCCTCGTGGTATGCAACTACAGAAAAAATATTATCTTTGTATCTTCAGGATTAGAAATCAATTGCTTCGTTTTTTGATACGTATTCATGATATGATACGATCTTTTAAGTTCAATAACGGTATATATACATGTTATTGGTTCGAAACATCGATTTTAAATAAAGTGTTTCTGAATTTTTTCTATATCAAATGCAATACAGATATACATAGATGTGTCATGCATAAATGATATGCAATCATAATTGCAATTATTCAACGATGCGTTTCGTTTGCAGATAACAGTTCGTGCCTTTAACCTACTGTGTAACATACGCGTTGATACGCGTCTACAAAATGTTTGAAAACATAAATACCGAACTATTACCAATAAAAGCCCATTATTTTTTATTCAATGCTGGTAAGTAAAATACTGGAAATATGAACATAACTGTGATACGTTATTTAATATTATATTTGTTATTTTTTAGCCACTGGACCAATAGTGCCATTTTTACCAACAATCGCCAAGCAATTAGGTTTTTCTGGCTTTTTAGTGGGCACAATATACACAATACTACCAATTTCAGGGTTGATCGCTAAACCTTTGTTTGGTGGTTTAGCTGACAAGTTTAAGATTCATAAAACATTATTTTTAATATTTCAAATAGTAGTTGCCATAGCCATGTTCACAATACATTTCATTCCTGAAATAGATAAAAGTGCAAATGTTGCTTTGACATGCAATGGTGATGCATCTTTAGAAATCTGTTCGAAAAATGGATTCTCTGATACTGTTATTCATAGTGTGATAACAGAGAAGAATCATTTGAATGTATCGTGTCAGGTATGTAGTTTATGAGATATATGAATATAATTTATTTTAGAGAATTGTATGGATTTGTTTTGAATTATCACATTTCTTGCTGTTCCAGGTATCCTGTAAAGCTAATAAAGATATTTATACTGAAATATGTAATCATTGGAAAGCAACACAATTTTGTAATTTAGCAAATTCAAGTGTTATTTCAGATTCTGAAACATTCAAGTTTATTGCAGGATTTGATGAATTTCATGACCTTTATGTAAGTCATTTTTGGACAGTCTTATGTTCTGATTTATACTCGGTTGTAGGACTAATAAGTATTTTGTTTTTCAGATAAAGAACTGTGTGGACATTCGTATCCTCAGTGCCACATTCTCAGACAATATTGTACATAAACCAGCCTGTGTAAATTATACTAGAACAACATGTGTAACTACATGCCACAATAACCCAAGTTTTAATCAGCTTTTGGAAGAAGCTGATGTTTTTCACAATACCACTCAAAGTTCGGCGTATCAGTTTCATTCATTTTTGTGGGCAACTGTAATCAGTTGGATTGGAATGTCAGTTGTAGTCACTGTAGCAGATGCTATATGTTTCAATCTCCTCGGTTAGTACCTTGTCTAATTAAATAATTCAGACGATTCTGACATGTGTGCATTACAGGAACTGAACGGAGAAAAGAGTATGGAAAACAGAAAATGTGGGGTAGTATTGGCTTTGGTATTTTTGGAATCAGTGCAGGATATTTAGTAGATGTGTTTAGCGATGGAAAACAGAAAGATTACACCTGTATATTTTATATCATGTTGATCACTATGATTTTAGACATCGTAATGTCAGCAACTTTGAAGAAGGTACACATATTTTTTTTTTATATATGTATATACATGGTTGTATTCCAGTAGAAGCTTAGATAGTACAGAAGTTTGATACTTCTTACTTATCAAGAGAATGAAAAAATTGCCAGGTAATGGGAGAAAGCAGTATCATTACAGAAAAATCCAGAATGTTCTGAGGGTGAGCCATCGATATTATGGGAATTGTTTGCTGTCTGTAAGGAGGGTAATATGTTGGCATTTGGATGGTGGTGTATAGGTGCAGGAATGTGCACCGGGATTGTATGGAATTTCCTATTTTGGTACACTGAAGATTTAGCGACTAGTTCTCAAGTACCATGGCTCAAAACCATACAAGGCCTGTTGACTGGTGTACAATGCTTTTTAGGGGAGCTACCGTTTAACTTTATCTCAGGGAATGTATTACGAAAACTGGGCCATGTGAATGTTATGAGTTTAGTTTTATTAGTTTATGCAATTAGGCAAGTAATTTATATTATACCATAAAGATATAATATGATTTTATTTCTTATTACTTACCATATATGTTTTACAGATTTATGGCATACAGTACAGTATCAAACCCCTGGTGGTTTTTAATTATTGAAGTACTTCATGGACCTTCGTTGGGTCTCTGCTGGCCTACTATGGTATCATATGGTGATAAAGTAACACCACCAGGCACTAAGGCCACTATACAAGGATTTATTGGTGCTATATTTGAAGGAATTGGTTAGAAGTGATACATTAATAAGTAAAAGTTTAATTTCCTCCGAAGGCTTATCGCGTACTTGTAATTTCAGGAGTATCAAGTGGCAGCTTAATATGTGGATGGTTAATGGACACTTACGGTGGTGTTACAACGTTCAGAGTATTCTCTGTGGGTGCACTGCTCTGGTTAACTTTCTTTTGGCTAGTCCAATTGTATCTTCGAAAAGTTAAAGCTTCGCCGATACATATGGGGCATAATCGTGAGTAATGATTATGTGAATACACGAATAACATTAATCCACACTGGGTACTTAAGGAAACTGGGTTTTATCAAAGGAAAGTATTGTTTTATTCATTGATCTTTTCCAGATTTGGCAAATTATGCTAATCCCGATGATGCAATTCTTCTGACTATGAGTCGCGAATTGCAGACTTATTAATAAAAAGACAACAAATGTTTTAGAATTTTTATACGTTTACCTAGCTCACTTAGTTAGCAGTGGCTATCTCATTAGTACTTAGTCGCTTTCCCGATAATTATCGATAGTTCAATTTTTAGCTTATTCGTGATTAATTAGTCTGTCATTTTGTAAATATAATATTTTGATTGTTCAGTATTATGTATTCACATTGTCATTGTGTTCAATAATATATTCACTTTTTCTATGTTATTTCGGTTTTTTGTTCCTCAAAACAAAAAATAAAAAAAAAAATTAAACAATTAACTCCCATGAAGTAAGCAATGTGTCAGATATTGATGAACAAAACACGATGGAAGATAGATGTCAAAGGGAAGCAATGCGAGGATGTGATTTCAATCGAAACATCGAGAATTGCTCACAAAATATCTCAACCATTTATTCATTGTGAATTCGTTTTTTTTTTGTTTTTGTGTTTTCAAGAGTGAAATCATATCATGCTAGTAATTTCATTAATTACCAGTGTAGTTTCAATTATTCATCGAAATTACGCGATAATAATAGTTTTATGAATTTCGCATAATATGTCGATAAAAAGCTACAAATAACTTTCTTCTGATTTAATACCACGGCACTGGGCAACAGTTGCTCGCGTGCAAAACAGAATAGCTGCATGCGAAAGGACTCGATGATCATTTTTCCGTAGAGTTAATCTCGGTTAGGATTTCGCTTCTGTTAGCTTTGACGTGACGGGGAAGTGGTCACCTGGTTCGGTGCAGGCTCGACAATAGCTTGGAGGTTTGGAATTTCACCTGCGGTATCACAGCAGTCGTTCATTATAATTCCGGTACCTGAATGAATAAAGGCAAGGCTTCCTTCGCTGGAGGAAGCTAGACTGGCTGATAGTGGAGGTGATCTTTCTTTAGGCGACGCCGACGAAGCTAGGTTATTCATAGTGGTGGTGCTAGAAGTCGATGGCTCTAGCGTGCCATAAAGTTCAAGTATACGACTCTCAAGAAGAAGATTGATCTCGGCTTGTGCTTTGTACTTCGATTCAACAGCTTCCAGCTCGGACTCGTGTTGATCTTTCGTTTCTTGCAAAAGTCGTTGTAGCTCGACAAGTTGTGCTTCTTTTCGCGAGTCCTTACTTTCCATTTCACTCAGACGTACTTTCAAGGCTTCCGCAAGAGATGTTCGCGCCTCCAGTTGTCGTCGTAAATCTTCAAATATTCACAACGTGCATGACAATGTAATTTATTTGTAATATTTTCATGTTAGAACAACACTTTGCAGGATTGCCGGCGACTTTTTATCGTTAGTTAGCTCGTATAGGTTGAATCGCATTAACCGTCAAAAATTGACATTTCTTATATCGGACGAGATATCGAAAAAGAGATTATTGAAACTTTTTTTTTATGTAAGATTCAAAGACATTTGAAGGGCGTAACAAACGATCTTTTTGATATCTTGCCTCATTTAAGAATTACCAATTTGTAACAGTTTAGGTGATTTAACCTACAGTACGAAAGAATACACGATCTATACGTATATTTATTTACTGTACAACCTTAGAAATTGACATCTTGGAATGATAAGTATTCTGCAAGAATATTATTCAGTCGTTCTAGATTTAATAAATGCATTCAGCACACTTACTAGTTAATTCCTCCGCATACGACCTCTGTATTTGCGTTGCTTCTTGCTTACTCAACGGCGACAAACCTCCTGTAGTTTCTTGCAGTTTTGCTTGTGCCTGTGTATAGAATACAGTATTATAGGTTCATGCTGGGCACGTTGGGGGATACATAATGTCATAAAGTACCACCTCTCCAAGTAACAGGAATTTCTTTTGTACGGTGTCAAGAGTACGTTCCAATTCTTTGCTACGATCGGCAGCTTTTAATGCAACTCTTAGTCGATGCCCTGCATCGAACAGAGACGCATCCGTGGATCGAATTCGCTGTTCGCATTCCACTATTTTTTGATGCTCTTTCTTCAGTTCAAGTTCGACGGTCTCAAGTCGATCCTTCAATGTTTGATTTTGTCGTTCTTCTTCCACACACTGTACCATTGTTTATTACATTACTTGATAGTATCATTAATTACACTGGTCAACAAAATTTACCTTTTTTTTTTAAATCAAATTTCTCGGAAACTGAGGGTGATGGCAAAACACTGTCTGCGGATTCGTATTCAGCAGAAAAAAAATCTATAAGAATCAGTATAAATGTCCTTTGGGACAAAAATTATGTTGACCAGTGTATCGACACTATTAACAGAATTTTTATTTGCCTTACCTTCGTTTGCCAGTGATGCATCGCTTCTTTATATCGTTCTTCAGCTTGCAGAGCTTCTTTTCTGTTACGTTCTAATTCGGTTTTCAGGGCTTCCACTTCTTTCTCCATTAATTTCAGTCGATCGGTCTACGCGGGTAAGAAGAGTTCTCGTTTAACGACAGCCGAAGTAAAAGAAAGAAATAGCGAATGTCAGAGTCTTAGTCCCAAGAAATAATGTCAACTGACCAAAGCATAGTTGTGTTCTTCCAATGCCCGCGAGTCCCTCAGTTTACCGAGAAGCCTTCGATTACGTTCAGCGTGGACTTCTCTACGCTGCCGTTCGAACTGCAACTGGATTTGCATCAGTTGCAGTAACTGACTCGCGCATTCGGCATCTAAAGCATCATCGTCCCCAACTTCTTCTTCGCCGTCGTTTTCTTTTCTTTGCCTCTGCTTAACCGCGATCGCTCCTTTGAAGAAATTATTCCATTAAATTTCTATCAACATGCTAACGTTTAATACGTCGTGCACTCTCTGTACTAACTCATTTTGTCACCAGAAAAGTTGCTAGCCCGCGTGCACGCTTCGACGTATCGGTCGAGCATCGCCGTCGGCGACAAACGAAATTCAGTGTTCGGCTGATCCCGTTTCGGTACATTCATCTGACTTTTTTGATCCAAAATCCCGAGCAGTAGGTACTCGTACGGAAGCAACTCGAACGTTTGGGTTCCGGTCTCTTCGACTATTTTCGTTCCCGTCGCTTTCAGTTGATTGCTTTTCTCAGTGCTAATTTGTTTTTGAACTTTCATATCCGGGCAAGATTTACTTTTCCGAACCTGTACGAAATTCACGTCTTTAAATGCAACATCAAACGAAACATCGTCGAAAATATTTTACCTTGCAAAGAGAACTAGAAGTAGAAGAATGCTGTGCTGGGACCTGACACTGAGAATACAGGTGCAATTGATAAATCCTTTCCGACAGGTCAACCACCAATGTATTTTGCATTTTCTCGTTGTGATGCTGTTGCGGTTCAACGTACTTCGAACATTCTAGCTTTCCTGCGGCCTGAGAGCTGACAATTTCTAAAACCTGTACAGCACACGCGAACATGGTTACCGTCCCATTAATATATAACAGTCTCTAACATACACGAATGCAAAGAATACAATACCTCTTGATCTTCTTGCCACGAATCGTTCTTCCCATTCTGATTTGTATCCGTTTCTCCGAATCTTCCATCCTCTTCAGCATTTGCGGATGGTTTTTGCTGTTCTTTTACGTTCTGCCTATCCGTGATGATTTTACTTATCTTGTGCGAGATATATCCATGCGCGTTGCTGCTATCCCCGCTTCCGATCATAGAACCAGTCGGTGTAGATGGTCGCGAACTCAATCCCACTGTACCGTTACCGAATGTGGTTAACGCACGAACCGCAGCTGAGCCCACGGGCATTTGCCTCGATAATTTCCGTAAATCCTGCGTAAAAATTCGATACACAAATTCTGGATTACAGTTTTGATCGTTTGAAAATGTACCTTGACTGGCGTTGTCTCGGGGGTTGCTTCGACTGCAGCTTCCGGTGGAGATGTGCCGCTTCTGTTATTATTTGGCGTCGAAGGTGTGGATCGCTGTTCGTGAGACGCGGCTGGAAACGGAGGGCTCTGCGGTGGTACTGTCATACTCGGGGACCAGAAAGTCTCGTCCTCGCCATTGGTAATTTCCGACGGTGCTGACCCGCCGCTAGTGTTTATTGGAGTAGATATAGACGAATGATCTAGAAAATATGTCAAAATTACATTCGTAACTACGTTTGCTTTAAGCGAAGACGACGGTACCTGGAGGCGGCGTGGAGCGTGAATTTACAGTGTTGAATAGTTCCTCCCGACACTTGTCTAACGTGAAGCGACCGCATTCTGCCATGACATCATGATGCTCCATCTTTTTCCATCTAAAGTAATAGTTCAATAGACTGAGTATTATAATATGCACATTATAAAGCGATGTTAATTTGCAGAATGTTGAAATCTACCTAGCAGCAGAAATCTCTGTATCTTTGGATGCGATAACAAGGAACGGATGCATACGCACTGAATCCAACATCGGTCTAATTGTATGAGTAAACGTAGCTAACTGATCTCGTTGCATATACTGTTGTTTCAAATATGAAATAAAGTTGCATGGATACATAGCGTACAGCCTGTGAAACAAGCTATATAGGCCCACCTGGAAACGGAACAGAAGCATTAATGATTCACTTATACGTTTACTTAAATAACGAGGCTCACCTGTAGATGTAATAAATATAAACGATTTTTATCGATAATTCCTGCTTTTCTCGGAATAAAATGCATAGGAGAAGAAAACAAAGACAATGACTGATGATGATGATAAGAAGCCAACCGACCAAATACCTCGAAAATTTCTGAGAGGTAAGGCCCTAGGGCAGCTGGTAACATGGGTAACAACATTACCAAGAGGAGAAGTGCACTCATTAGGGACAATGTATCTGCTTCCGTCTGAAAGTACATTAGTCAGAAAATCATATATACTCAATGATACTGTACGGGGACCTTACTCTCGTAAAAGTTAGTCTTACTTTAAGTAACTTAAGTAAATCACGAAATAAAGCATGACTGGCAAGTTTATATAGCCATGTAGGTTGCCGACGAGCAATATGACCCAGCAAAGTAAGGGTCTGAATTCTTTGGCTGCTACTTCCTGGTTTGGAAAGAGCTTCTGATAAACGATCTAAGAGATGCTTGTCATGTGGATCTCGAACACTGGCTAATACCTCGACAGACCTTAAGGAATTTGTAGACAAATAATAGTCAAAGAGTCCATTTACCAACCAATTGTCTTTTGCTGTAAAACGTATTGATTTATTAAGAGAACCTCGTGATTAATGTAGATACTTTAGATCCATAGTCTTACTTACTACTCAGAAAAAGTTCGTGGAATACTTTTTTTATTTCTTCTACCTCCCCGAGCTTGTTAGATTCCAATAGGTTAAAGAGATCAGCAATACTTATTGAATTGATGTTCATCTTGATAATAATCGGTGTTCCAATGCAGGTAAACGATACTCAGTCCAATCATCTGATCATAAAATGGAAGTAGAAGTGAATTTGTTAAGCTTAGTTTCATCCATTTGTCATTTGTTATGTAGTGCAGACTTCATAAGAAGCACAGGGATTCTCGGAATACCTGGATCATTGGGAGACCAAACTGAAAAAAGGAAATTCATAAAATTTTTTGGGAATATGCATTTTTTTTTTTCTAATTTTGTGTCCTAAGAACTGTCAACTTCTATGAATTGGCACATGAATTTTGTTATTATGATTCTGTACGAAAACGACGTTAATCCATACAATTTTAAGGTTATGCAAACGGAAATTATGTCCAAGATATTGCTAAACTGTCAGTGGATATTTCATTCTAAATGTATAAAAAAAAAATTGTCGGTACGGTTCTCTGATATTTGCAAAAAGATCATTCGGTACAGTATCCGTACAAGACTTCTGGTGAAGATAACTTTCGTTTTTAAAAGGGAACGTCAAATGTTGGGTTCGACTAACAATATATCCGTCGAAATTAACAAATTAACTTACCCGAAGTTCATCGAGTACTTCGACGAAACTTCGCAAGTTCTATGGCGATTGGTATACCATCGTAGATATACCGTACATTGATACGCATTGATGTCGTTACAGTGGGAACAGCGCCACGATCGCGCAACGATTCCTATTGCGTTCCTGAAACTATTAAAACCGAACCAGCAATTTTTGTTTTCAATTATCAGATCATTTTCTAAGCTAAGTCAACCACAGACATTACAAATTAACGTCTTGTCTATGGTATGACACTTGATGAAATATTCTAATAAGTATCAACCAACTCCAATTCCTTCTCTTAACTATACATAGCATATATCACGGCGTATATAATAAATTGCGCAGTCTCATGATAGGGCTAAAGTCGAGACCAAAGGACAGAAGTAGAATTTGCAGAAACTGCCATGGTTGCTAGGATTATTATCTAATTTGTTTACGGGAACTAGAGATGGCGTGCAAAATCACTAACGGTGATTTATCACAGTGATCGCCAAATCACGATCGTGCAGTCTTCAAAACTTCATAAACGTTTCATAAGTCTGTCGCCGAAATTTTGGTTACCGGTGGCATGCGATAGACGTGTGTAATAATTTGCAGTAGTCCTTTGCCGTATTCGATCTTAAGAGTTCTACGAGCAACAACGAGAAAGGATCAGGGTAGCTTTGGAGAAACGTTGTCAAAAACATCAGAGGCGCCATCTAACCAAAATAATATACTATTAATTGGCGAATAGCTTTTGAGTTTTTTAATAGATGGCGGACTAAGTAATTTTTTTATCACGCAAAGTGTATATTAAAGATCTGTATAAGGCAGGTTGAACCATGATTGTATCAAAACCTAAGTCGAATTTACAATACCCTAAACTGAAACCCCCTTTTGTTACCAAAATCATTATCTGCAAGAACATATGTCGGTTGTTCTATGGAATAAATTCATCAAAGTTGGATGAGTCGAATAAATTCGTGAAACGTTTCAGCAGTTCAATCATTTCGAATAAACATAAACACCTTCAGTGTCCAGAACTCAATTGGGTCGGTTGGTTGAAAAAAATTGCAAAAAGTGTGGAAATCCCTACTATCGGGTGGGGGCCTGATTTAAATTAGGTGAATAATTACTGTGGACGTGGCAGCAGCTTCCATTTCGGCGCCAGCTAATTTCATTGCGGGATATTGTAAACTCAGCATAAGCTTTGATACGATCGCGTAGAATGACATCATAGCGACGTCAATTGACTGTAGAGGATTACGCCGAAATTCGATATCCCTTGAAACTTCTTGCAGTTACTATTGTTTTTCTTTACACTTGCGATCATGAGTTGTGGATTCGTTACTTGCGGCCCAAACGAGGCTCTTGTAGTTTCAGGTAATGGTTTACATACGATTTTTTTAGCAAAGTGTTTGCTTAACTCGTGCTTCGACTGAACCGACGGTGGAAGGAGTGCCGTGTCAATTAATTGATTTGTACCATTTAGACCGGGAATGAGTGGAATAGTTAATTACACGTTATGTGTCATCAAATACTTTTCACTAATTTCATACTCGCATTAACAAATCTCATTCTTTCATAGTTCCAACGTCCGTTTATTACATAAAACTTATTTTTCGAACATAAATATAAGATGCCAACTAAGGATCGTTCGCTTTAACTCACCACGATACCATATTCAGTTCTTTCTCCATCGATTTGTGTGCCACTTATTTTCAAATCGTCTCTTTAAGGATGCTGCTACAGCAAACCGCTTTTAGTACCTGGTGGCCGGGTATTTGTATGGCCTATTGTCCAGCAAGTACAAAAGTAAGTGTAATGTATTCATTACAAAATTAATATTTTGAGTTTTCACGAACAAATGTTTTATTTCGACATTTGTTTCTATTTAATGTAAATTGTGTTTTTCTTTTAGAATTTCATTAAACACTATGACTTTACAAGTAGAAAGTCCTACGGTGTATACATCTCAGGGAGTACCAATATCTGTGACAGGAATTGCACAGGTAATAAATAAAATTAACATTTAAGAAGTATCCAGTTTGAGGATCCGCATAAAATTTCAAAATTTTAACTTTACTTTGATATTTATTTTCCTACTTTCTTTTAGAGTCTGCTTTTCCATGATTTTTTTGTTTACTCATAGTTGACCTGATTAAATGATATCTTTAAGTAGAATTGTCAGGTAGATGTTTCTTATATGATTTAATTTTTATTTGAAGCTGTTTCTTCATGAAGTCAAAGGAGGGTTCTAAGATTTAGAGTAATACATAAGTCCAGAAAGAAATGCATAAATATAATGATAATATTTATTCATATATTGAAAGGTCAAGATACAGGGACAAAATGAAGAAATGCTTTCCACTGCGTGTGAACAGTTTCTAGGGAAATCTGAAGAAGAAATTCATGGTATTGCTCTTGTTACATTAGAAGGACATCAACGAGCAATAATGGGAAGCATGACTGTGGAGGTATAGTAAACCTACCATTGAATTGGCTTAATTGATCTATTAAGAACGAATCCATATTGACCCCATTTTACTTTGTGCAATTTGTGTGCTGTAGGAAATATACAAAGATCGTAAAAAGTTCAGCAAGAAAGTCTTTGAAGTAGCCAGCAGTGATCTAGTCAACATGGGCATCACCGTTGTGTCCTACACGTTGAAAGATATCCGAGACGAGGAAGTAAGTCACAGTTTTTCAATCGAGGGATCAATATTTTCTATCCAACAATGAAGGAAGAATTTTGCATGGAATGATGCAACAAATGAAAATTCCAGAATATTTGATTCTAAACTCTGCTTATTCAATAGTTACATAGCATTGAATGTCCCCCTTTAACTGGTTGTATATTTATATGTAATCCTTATTAATATTAGTTATTTGTAGTCCAATCTTGTATTTAGTAAATATGGAATACATTTTTGTTCTGCTACTTGCAGGGGGCAAAGGTACGTGCAAATTAGGTTTTATCACTGCATATAATGCCAATGCACCGCTATTTGGACAATATTAGCAGAAACCTTTTAACATAGAAACGATAAGGGACTTAGCAGATATTTCATGTGCTTGCTTTAACGGTAGCACAAATTTATATTACACATTCGCAAATGTGTGTCGTTTACGTATGTATACGTATGTGATACCTACCATTATATGCCGCGCCTTTGTGTTTAATTCAGGCTGTACCGAAATTAAGTGCTGACATCAGTGTTATCATTTGAACGGCTCAGTGGTAACATTACAGTAATTATTAATTACTGTATTGTACTTGATGTTCACCATTTATTTATAGGGATATCTGAAAGCTCTCGGAATGGCACGAACTGCTGAAGTTAAACGAGACGCGAGGATCGGAGAAGCGGAAGCTCGCAGAGATGCTCAGATTCGCGAGGCCATCGCTGAAGAACAACGAATGGCTGCGCGTTTCCTTAATAATGCCGATATCGCTAAAGCGCAACGTGATTTTGAATTGAAGAAAGCCGCTTATGACGTCGAAGTCCAAACTAAAGTAAGTTCATTGTTTTTTTTTTTTTTTCAATTTAATCGAAGAAACATTAACAGATGTTTATCGCGTATTGTGTATGACTTTTAGAAAGCGGAAGCAGAGATGGCGTTCGAATTACAAGCTGCGAAAACCAAGCAAAGAATCATGGAGGAGCAAATGCAGGTGAAGGTGGTAGAACGCGGACAAGAGATCGCGGTACAAGAACAGGAAATGTTACGACGTGAAAAAGAATTAGATGCTACTGTACGGCGTCCAGCTGATGCAGAAAAATACAGGTATTTTATGTAGATTTATGTAAGAATTTAGAAAATTCATGAAACACAAGTTCTTAAAAGTACAATACTAATAACTACATTTACAGATTGGAAAAGCTAGCCGAAGCTAATAAATTGCGGCAAATAATGGAAGCTGAGGCAGAAGCAGAAGCTATAAAAATTCGAGGTGAAGCAGAAGCTTTCGCTATTGAAGCAAAGGCTAAGGCTGAAGCAGAACAAATGGCGAAGAAGGCTGCGGCTTGGAATGAATACCAGAGTGCCGCTATGATAGATATGATGCTCGACACTATTCCGAAGGTAATTACAATACTAGACTTTAGTTTTCCTTCTCACATACAGAATTTTAACGACTGTAGGAGAATTAATATAAAAACAGTAAATTTTATTAGAGTTCCTATTTAACTGTGTCTTCTAAATTCACATGTGGACACCTCGTGATTCAATTCTATTCGTTCGCTTTTCAACGAACGAGACCGGCACGAAGAAGCTTGAAAATTTCATTCCATTTATTTCTGTACTCAAGTGTAGTTACGTAACGTGAGTATTTACGTACACGCATGATATTGTCCAGGTTGCCGCTGAAGTCGCAGCGCCGTTATCACAAGCAAAGAAAATAACGATGGTTTCTAGTGGAACTGGAACCGTTGGAGCAGAAAAATTAACAGAGGAAGTTTTCAATATTGTGACACGAGTACCGCAGCTGGTTAAAAATTTAACAGGCGTGGATATTGCAAAGGTAAGATTAGAGGATATTAATACGTACACATTTGTATTAACGGAAGGAAATCTAATGGTAATGTTTTTTTCCCCCGTTTCAGTCCATTCATGCTGCTGCATAAGCAGGGTGTATTACAGTTTCTGAATACTTCCTGACCACCAGTCGGTACTTGTACGAAATATATAACGAGTCTTTGATATACACATTTATTTTGAATATGCTGTTGCATATTAGAGTCACATTATTATTTTTATCTTGATGACGTTTCGTTGCCTAACGAATTCGGTACTTTCACTGCCATTTACTTGAACGTAATGATAAATCAATTTCGATTTGTGCCAACTTTGAAGAAACATTGAAACTGTGAGTAAATTCGAATTGGTATACATGCTCGAAAGTAGATTACAAATACCGAATACATTCGCACAAGATTCATATTTCATATTCTATTCGAATACTAGTTTAATTTAGTTGATTCAAACAATAGGTACACCTGTGTACAAGCAAACCTGAGTTACAGAGGCAGTGAACGTATAATTTAATTAACCAAGATTATGTGTACCAGTTGTAATAGAATATTATTTATGTTTTGATATAATTTATATATTCATATTGAGATTTTATTTTTTATTAACAGATCTTTTTAAATTAATATTTTATGCACGTAGAAGAGAATAGAAGAAAAAAAAATATGAAAATATATCTTTTTGAATCTCATATTGACCAATGATGGTCCAGTTTTGTCCATGCGTATAATGAACTTTGCCACTATGTGCCGAAACATTCCTCCAAATATGCTGTACGTACCTTCCGATTATATCGATATAATTACTGGGTATGAGCGTTTTAGAAAAAGAAGTGCTGTATCTAACACTTGTTCGTTCAATGTGGTTCAATGTTAAGTATCTATGTCTAGTCCTCGGAGTTTAAATATCTTTACATAAATCTTTAGTTACACCCTCCAATACTCGAAGATGCATTAATATATTTTGCGTCGATTTTAGCTAGAATTTACTGTGATCTTACACACACTTTGTACGAAAGCAAAAACAATATTCATAGTTCTTGAAACACCGTTTGAGAGCTTTGACGAATAAATTTGTATGACCAATTTAACCGCCTTAAATGGATGAGAAAGATTCGATTTTATGTAAAGCGACTAAATGTTAATATCAAGATTTGTCGTGTACTAATTTACCCACCCTATTTTTATAAGTAAACAATGAAAACAGAAAACAGTAGAATTCGCAATCTAAACCGTCATAAGGGGGCTCGTGTCAAACGTAGGTTACCGATTCGTATTAAATTTTCTTCAACGTATTCGAACTGTACTTTACGAAGAAATAAACAACGTGCTATTTTTAAAGTTACATTATGTTTTTTAATTCGAGACCATTTCATGTTTCTATGTTACAATTCATTTCAAAAGATAACGTTCCTTGAATATTTGTTACCGTGTCTCGTGACGTATAAAATGGACACGTATAGGTCATTTTTAGTAGACTTTTTAGCTGGCGGGATATCTGCAGCCGTTTCAAAAACTGCAGTCGCACCCTTAGAGAGGGTGAAGCTGTTGCTTCAAGTACAAGCTACTTCAAAGCAAATACCTCCGGAACAACGGTACAAGGGTATGTCATTAACCACAGTATTAAACATTGTAAAACACAATAAAAACTTTGGTGAAGTTGAATATAGTTTTTATGTTATTTTTAATAATCCAGTAAAACGTTCAGCCCAGAATATACTTCCATAAAATTTAGTTGACAGAAATGTGAATCTCTACACGGCGTTTGCAGTTTAATAATAAGTATTTGTATCTATTCATATAATTTCAATACTATTAGGTATGATGGATGCATTTGTACGTATACCTAAAGAAACTGGTTTCCTCAGTTTCTGGAGAGGCAATCTAGCGAATGTAATACGGTATTTTCCAACTCAAGCATTGAACTTTGCGTTCAAAGACAAATTCAAAGCTTTATTTTTGGAAGGTGTACCGAAAGATGCATTCTGGAAACAGTTTGCTGGAAGTTTAGCATCTGGTGGAGCTGCTGGGGCAACATCTCTGTTATTTGTTTATCCACTTGATTTTGCTCGTACAAGGTATCACGTACACTCGTATTTAACGTTAAACGGTATGATAACGAATTTACTGTAACAGATTAGCCGCGGACATTGGCAAAGCAGATAAAAGAGAATTCAAAGGTTTGGGTGATTGTCTAGCAAAAGTTTACAAGACGGACGGCTTTACCGGTTTATATCGAGGCTTCAGTGTCAGCGTTCAAGGGATCATTATTTACAGAGCAGCATATTTTGGTTTTTACGACACTTCTAAGGGCTTGCTCCCCGATCCAAAGAACACTCCGTTGTACATTACCTTTCTAATTGCACAGGTAAACGATCGATCTGTGAACAATTCGCAAGTGACACTGGATATATTTCTATGGAATGTTTTGTAGGTAGTAACAACAGTGGCTGGAATCATTTCATATCCTTTCGATACAGTTAGACGACGTATGATGATGCAATCAGGACTTAGTAAAAGCGAGATGCTGTACAAAAATACATTGGATTGCTGGGTAAAAACGGCGAAAACCGAAGGAGTCGGGGCTTTTTTCAAAGGTTCTCTTTCGAACATTCTTAGAGGTACCGGCGGAGCATTAGTTTTAACATTGTATGATTCAATTAAATATGCAATCGACGAACAATTAACCGGAAAAAAATCGCATCCGCCAAACTAGTTCTTTAACCTAATTTAAAATATGAAAATGATTTATAAAGTCAAATTAAAATTCAATTAAACATCGATTTTCTTGTAAATTGAATTTAGATTCACATATATATGAAAAGCATGTTCCTACAACAGTTCGCGAGGAACACATCATAAGATGTTTCAATTTATTTTTAAGAAAAATGTTTCATAATAAATATATATACAATTACCAATAAAAATAAGACACTTTTAATACTTTATCCTTTCGTACATTAGATATGATAAATGTTATGAATATTAGGTGACTCGATTTGCTGGCATTCATAAATAAATTGATTTTTATTTAGCAGTGACACTAAATTCTCATACTTAGGTAGAAGAAACTGACAAAAATAATTATATACAAGACCATAAATGCTCTCAAATAAATGTCACAGCTTTTATATTCTCATGCATCATGTTTTATCCATTTTAGGATCTAGAATTGTACAGTTTAATTAAGCATGGTATGTCGATCGTAAATATTACGTCTTTGTTCGCGGACTTGGCGTTTCCATTTATCTTGTTGGTGACCAACACGGTTTAAAACATTACCTCTTTCACCCATAGGGTGAGATGTTCCGGGAGTTATCGATGTGTCATCCTATCAAAATTAAAATAATTTACATAATATAAAGATTATACCGAATCACAGAAAATTTTTCCTAATTGTATAAACATTAAAAAACATTTCTGTGCAATATAAATCATATCGACATACCTCTTCGTTATTGTGTTCATGGTAGCCAATGTTTGCAGAGGCCTTATGAATTCTTTTATTTAATAATGGGTCCAAACAAATTAAAAACAGCATATAGATTACTAACAGGGATATAACCCAAATAACAAGTATCACCACTATCTGTAAATAAATAACGATTACTTTACAATTCTTCATTGAAAAAGAATCAAAGACTCACTTTAATAATAGTGGTATTTCTATTTTCGTATTTGCAGTCACATCGCGAACAATATATTTCCTCTTTGCCTTTCAACTGATCCCCTACTCGTGCTAATACAACACCTTCGCAGTTACTGGGGATTAAAATGTAAATAAAATTATACTGTATCCAATTTATTCTAACACATGCAACAGATGTGAGTTTCAATTACCATTGAGAAGGTGGAACATTTATGATGTACGATTTTCGTTCTAATGACGATTGCGATGTTGCATTCACCACGGAGGCAAGACTGGGACAAATGCATTTACATCGTTTGTCGTCGTATTGCGCCTGAAATTATTCATACAGATTACATATGTGTTAAAATTCAAGCTAGTTTACTCATTAACTGGTATTTTAACCTCAGACTGTGATAAACATGTCAGTGTGATCGCTGTTACAAGGAAAATGTGTTTCAACATTATTTTGTTAAGCCTCTCATCCAGCAGGTATTTCTCTTTTGTCAGTCAGATCTTTCTAACTTTTCAGCACAAACGTATCCACGAATAAAACAATTACTGCAATTCCATATTTACTTCGTACAACGTACAACTCTCCCGAACTGTCAAACGTTACGAACTATTACGATCTGCGACCTCCGTGTTGCCAATATCAAGTCCTGTACCCAGTCTGTGGAAGAGCCTCCCCTTTACGGTAAGTTCGTTGGAAGATAAAAAAGGGATCTATTTTATCTTCTGGCAATGAGTCACGAAGTAACTCCTGGTGGTGACATCTTTTAACAATACTGCGATACTAATTTGCTAGTAGCTTGAGAGTTTCGCCATAGATAGCACCAGATGTATCCAGAAGCAAATTTTCGTTTCTTTATGGAATAATTTACGAAAATTGGAACTAAGTAGATGCTTATTAGTTCAATTACAGATTTTACTTTATTACTAATAAAATAAAACATTCTTAAGTATCCATTTCTTGTGAATACATTTTTTTACCGAACGTATTATTGTTAGTGGAACGTACGTGCAAGCGTATAGAAGTTCTAAAAGGGTGTAATGATAAATGGTGTCACGATTGAATAGAGTTGTATTTTAAATTAATATTCGAACCATCGCACGATCTCCGCGCATGATTTTCGAAAACTCCATGTCACAAAGATAAATGTAAAAGAGGAAGGAAGAAGAGAAAAATAAAAAAGGGAATGAAGTAGAGGAGGTATGGGAGCGGGAGGACGAGGAGGTGGAAGCTAGCGTGAATATTTTTACCCAAGCCTGTTAACTACACTCTGTTATTTTATCTCACGTACACCGTTTTTCCACCACTACCACACCGTTACGCGGGAATATAAGTTTTAAGGCGTGTTTTGATAGCGTCAGGGTGTGTCAGCCGGAGCTTCCTACCTAATGGATCACTTCTTCGTTTATTCGTTCATACTTTTCAAGTGTATGACCCCATGATACCTACAGTATCTTCAATACTCTCTTCTTTACAAGATTTAACAATAATTATTAGCTTACCACTGGACATTTTCATTTATCATACTTCGATCACTAAACCGTGGTATACTGTCTCTATTGCCAGTGCATTATTAAGAAAAGAAAAGAAACCCTTTACCCACCTGTGTTACCAGTTTATAGCCAATTAGCGTCCGGTGATTATTTTTTACCAAACTCCTCGATGACAAAACGGTAACGATCGTAGTCTTACCATCCTCCCTTCCGTGTAAAAGGTGTGGAAAAGAGGTTAGGATGAAAGTGGCTCGCCGCGGACGCGTATTTACGTGAAACAATATTTTTGTTGGCCTTTAAAAAGGCGGCGACAGAGCGCTACCCTTCGTCGTTCCTCTTCCCGTATCGTTCAACTACACCGCGCGAAGAAGATACGCGAGGACACTGTCAGTCGTCGACTTCGTATCCCCTCTGTCTTCGACACCGGTATAAACTCCGCGTTAGTATTAACTAATAGATGGAAAAGAGAATTAAGTAGTAGAATTGTTTTCGAGAAGACAGCCATAGACAGAAGAAGTGTTTCCACTTCAGCCCCTTTAACTGCAAAGATCAACAGCGCCCAATAAACGTGTTAACCATCGTCGCCATTGTAAACCGCGGATGTTTCAGCAAACGCATAATTTTGGTCAGCAATCCTCCTGGACGGAAACAAGTGGCTCTTGCACTAGCTAGAAGAAAAAAAATTGAATTTTGCCCCCACCCCTCTTCCAATAATAATGCATAAAAATCACGATTAGGAAAGACGTTTTATTTCTCAGGAAAATTCTTTTTCACTACGTTTTCCAGGTTACGAGAAGCCGTAAATAGAGGAACGTCCACGATCAAGACATATTATAAAATATAATATGTATATATATATCAATTCTGGCAAAGATAACAAAATTTGTTATCTTGCTCGTGCGGTTCGCCACTCCAAATCCAACTGGTTGAAAGGTCTTAGCCGTCTAATGACCGTCGATGAATCCCACGTTCACCGGAATGAATGGAAACAGTACGAGAGACGAGCTTGAATGAACCGACGTGCACGATGGTCCACTACGAGCCACCGGGTATTGTTTTGGTTATTTTGGCAAACCTAACACAACATCACATGTTGTTTAACAAAATAATTGATTTTGTCGCCCAGTCTTTGAACCATGGTATGTATGTGCTCCTCTCCGCCTTCCTCTTCCCCCGACCCCTAAAACCACATTCGTCTCTCTCACTCTCTCTCATTCTTTCGTTTCTCTTTCACTCACTGTCTTTCGACTCCTATGCGCCGTGGCGCAAGGCTCGCGTGCCAGATAGTTGACTACTTAGGCGGCGTACAAAAACAAATTATTCGATCGAGTTTGTTTATCCCCCTCCCGTTCGACGTCCCAAATGGATTAACGACGCGGGTTCTCATTGTCGCTGTTCACTGACGTCCATGGTATGCACGTACCGCCATCTATGTTTACATGTAAACACGGGTGCAATACGCAGACGAGCCGCCATCTATGTTTACATGTAAACACGGGTGCAATACGCAGACGAACCGCCATCTATGTTTACATGTAAACACGGGTGCAATACGCAGACGTACCGCCATCTATGTTTACATGTAAACACGGGTGCAATACGCAGACGCACCGGTCGATCATATTTTAGAGAACGGGAACTTGATTAACTCGCGAATTCGATTTTCTCAAAATGCTATTTCTGTATTTCAGTTCCGAGACAGCACATGACGCCTTGAAGACGCCTATTTTAGGTCTAACGCGTCTTTAAGCCGTCCTCAAGGCGTCATTGGGCTTCATGGTTGTCACTCGTGATCAACGAAAGAAGGAATCGTTGTTAACGATGACTGCGTCGAATCGCGACTAGTTTTCGAGATCCGTGCTTTCGCTTGATTCGACTTCCCAGCTGATCGGACTCTCTCGGAAACCCGTCGCGCGTACCGTTCACGTAGTCGGCGTGTATCTACACGTAGAGGGAGAGCCGCAAGAACGGACGTTGTTATTACAGATGCCACTCGTTCGGGGATACTGGCGTATATTTCAGGCACAAAGAAGCTGGAAGAGCGAGGCCTAATTTTCGTTGATCGTGTGGGTTCACGGTTTTTCGAAATACGAGTCGCGGGAAGAAACTGCAATACCGACGCGCGGCCGACGGTCGTGAAAGGAATCGACAATTCCATCCAGATCGTGCATAAGCGGCACAACGGTCCCGTGTTATCAGGACGCGCGCGAATTCGAATTGCGTTTATTCAATTATCTCAATAATTATTCCAATAGGAAGTGAATAAACATAGTAGGGGGCTCCGAATTGTTAATCTCGAAGTACGAACCGTCGAAGCTTCAACAAACTTTTCAACAGAGTTCTTATGGCAGTCTTACGACTTCTTACCGGAAGTATAATCTGTTCTATTCACAAAACCTATAAATGCTAACTAAAATTATTATAATGATGCTGTATTCACTAGAGAGTCAGGGTCGAACCACCTTAATGACTGTGATCGTCAACGGGTCGTCGATGACCCGACCACAGGAGAAGCCCATTAAAAACAAAGACAAGTGTATAACCAAATTTCAATCACGTGCCAATTTCCTACATTTAATTGTAATGTCGAAACTATGCGAACGATCCAACAGTAAATTGCAACGCGTACCAAAGACACGATGCAAAGGCGATGACACGGAACCACGGCATCGAGTGCCACTTTCCTCGGACACGGACAAAATCCAGAGAAAAGTAATAATCGCGGGGAAGGGGGATGTTTTCTTTCCGCGACGGACGAAATGGACCTGGTGGCGCGCGGAGCATCTTTCGACAAAGAGAAACGAAGAAGTGGACGGGAACGGTGACAGAAAGGGGGAGGGGGAGTGGAGAGTTGGAGTGTGACAGAAAGCGGGAGAAGAGTGAGAAAAAAGGGGTGGAGGGGAAGTAGAAGAGAGAAAAACGAAGTGGGCCGAAAGAGAGGGTACAAGAAAGGGGACGAGATAAGGAGGGAGGGCAGAAGAGGAGGAAGGGAATTTGTGCTGAAATAACATTGGATGACTGCGGTATTGTCAACCCCCTAACTCGCGCGCCTCCCCGTGTCTATCTTTCTCTCTCTTTCCCCGTCGCATTCCCTATCGTCTTTCTCCTTCTGTTCCATGAAATCGTATCCTTCTTCCCCCTGGACCTATCCTAGCTCCGGCTCGGTTTAGGCAGCAGAATGTAGGTGCTCCCGTAGAGAGAACAGACGGAGCCTGGCCAGGAGGGATGAAACAACACCCCGTTCCCGCCGTTTCATCCCTCTCCCTTTATCCGACACAGCCAGCTCTTCTCCTTGTCTCTCTCTGTCTTTTGCTCACGTCCCTTGCGCTGTCTCCTGATCCGTTCCCTAAATGCGGCCAATAAAAACAACACCGCCACCGCCGCCACGAGAGCCGGCAGGAAAGAAGATCGAGGATGCCGGTGAATTATAAAAATAACAGTGCGAAACGATCGAACAATTGGCCGATTCACAGTGGCCGTCTCTCGTTTCTGTGGCTCTCGTGGAAAAATCCCCCCATTCACCGGACGTGTGACAACTGATTCTACCCGCCTACCTTCCACCACGACCCGATGTTTGTCTTTTTATTGTCGAACGACCTGGCGAAAATTACGGGAACGAGCGTTGAATAAATAATCGGGGAACGCTTGTGGAACCCTGGCCGCTGCTCACCCAATATGGCGGACGGTCGGCAGCGATCCTCGATGTTCGTAATCCTTTTGCTAATGAACACTAATGAACTGAATTTCTCGACCTAAATGAAGATGATACAAGATTAATTTTATGTATCAATTTTGTTGTATCCTTTCAACTTTTAACGGAACACGTAAAAAACAACCAGGTGTTCACGGAAGGTGTTAAATAGAGGTTGATGTCATTCGCGTCCCAGAATTTCTCGCCTACTTTCACCTCTTTCTTTCCACGGGGCATTCCTAAAATTTTCTCCCGGTTTTCGCGGCATCCTACCCGTCCCTTCCCTCCTGTACCCTTCTTCGCCCCTCCGCCCTATTCGTTCGTTCGCGGTGCACGCGGGTACACGCCGAACGCCTACCCGTCCCGGCGTGAAGTCAAAGAGAGATAAAATCTATAAATATGTGGGAGGCGCACGCGACCCATTCCAGTGTTTGTTCAACCAGGAATAACCTCCCCGTTT